TAAAGAAAGTGTGGCAATCTACACCTTAGAGTACTACTCACATGTAAAAGAACAATGACATCTTGAATTTTGCATGCAAATGGATGGAATTAGAAAACACAATCCTGAGTGAGATAACCCAGACCCAAAATATGAATATGGTATATACTCACTCATTAGCGGATATTAGCCATTAACAAAGGACATTGAGCCTATAGTTCATGATCCAAGAGAAATTAAGTATTAAGGTGAACCCAAAGAAAAATGTATATAGATCCACCTGGATATTGGAAGCAGACAAGACTGCCTGACAAAATTCGGGAGCATGTGATGGGGGATAGAAGGAAGAGGAGAAGGGGAGGGTTGAGGAGAACTTGAGGCAATGGGATATTTGAGATGGAGGAAAGACAGATATTAGAGCAAGGAAAGAGATATCTTGATTGAGGGAGTCATTTTGGGGTTAGCAAGAAACCTGGCTCTAGAAAAATTCCCAGGAATCTACAAGGATGACCCCAGCTAAGACCTAAGCAACAGAGAAGATGGTGCCTGAACTGGCCTTGCCCTGTAGTCAGACTGATGATTATCTTAAATATCACAATAGAACCTTCCTTCAACAACAGGTGGAAACAGAGACAGAGACCCACATCAGATCACTGGACTGAGCTCCCCAGGTCCAGTTGAAGAGTGGAAGGAGGGAGAGTATGAGCAAGGAAGTCAAGACCATGAGGGTTTCACCATCTGAGACAATTTGCCTGAGCTAATAGATGCTCACCAACTCCAACTGGACTGGGAGTGAATGAACATGGGATCAAACTAGCCCCTCTGAATGTGGTTGACAGTTGGGGCAGACTGAGGGGTCAATGGACAATGACACTGTGATTTGTCTCTACTTCATGTACTGGCTTTTTGGGATTCTATTCTCGTTTGATATATACCTTGCTTAACCTGGATGTAGTGGGGAGGACCTTGAACTTTCCACAGTGCAAGGTATCTTGCCCTCTCTTAAGACTGTAAGGGGGTGGGGGTTAAGGTATGTGGAGGGAGTGGAAGGAGAGTGGAAAGAGGGGAGGAAGTAGGAATTTGGATTGGTATTTTTAAAGTAATTAAAAAATATTAAAAAGAATCAAACATGACTGGCAAAAAAGGAAAAAAGTCAATTAAATGATTCCTAATGATATTGTGCTATACTCAAAGATTGGTGCCTAGTTTATCTGGTACCTGAGACGCCTCACCCAGCAATAGTTGGAAATAGATGCAGAGACCTACAACCAAACATTAGGCAGAGCTAGGAGAATTCAGAAGAAGAGGGGGGGAAGGAGTGTAGGAGTCACAGGGATCAGGAATCAACAAGAAAACCCACAGTATCAACTCACCTGGGCTCATAGGGGGCTCACAAAGCCTGAACTGCCAAACAGGGAGCCTACATGGGACTGACCTAGGCCCTCTGCATATATGATTGTGTAGCTTGGTCTACTTGTGGGCCTCCTAACAGTGGACACAGGGGCTATCTTTGACTCTGTTGCCTACATTGGGACCCTGTCCAACTAGAGGGTTGCCTTATCCAGTCTTACTAGGAGAGGCAATGCCTATTCTCAGTCAACTTGATATAACTTGACTGGCTGATATCCCAGAAAGGCCTGTCCTTTGCTAAAGAGACAGAGGAGGAGTGGACATAGGTCCAGTGTTAGGGAAGGGATGAAAGGAAGGGAGGAGGGGAAACTGTGGTCAGGATATAAAAACTAACTAAATAAATAAAGACATAAATAAAAAGAAAAAAATTTATTAATAAACTTGCTTATAAATAATAAGTTATACAAAGTAGAATTTAGCTAAAGTAGCACTGCCTCCAATAAAAATAACTGAAAGGTAAGTACTGTGCTCACCACAATGTTAGAAACTGTGAGAAAGAAAATTGTGTACCACAGTTGAAATTGTGTTTGCTGAGAAAGTTTCTGCTAATGTTTATTCACCAAGATTGATATCCAATTAGGCTCCATTCTCACAACAAAAGGAGACAATCCTGACTTCCCACAGGCCATTAGGCCCATTCCCATATCAAAGGACATGCCTCTAAGGGGCAGCTCAAGGGGTCACAACAATCCTCAAGGCCTGGTGTCTTTAAGTCCCCTGTGCTCTCATCAGAATGCATGTAATTCTGCCTTGTGAGGAAGCAGAATCTAGGAAAAAATTATTTAAACAAACAAACAAACGAAAAAGCAGAACAAATTGTAGTGAGGAGCTGCAAGCAAGCCTGCTTTTCGTCCTGCCTGGCTCCCATACGGCTTGCTTAGCCCCGGAAATAACAACACACAAATTGTATTCATTTAACCCATTTCTTATAATCTGTGAAGCACCACGAGGTGGTGGCTTACCGAGAAAGATTCAGCATGTCTGACCTGGTGGCTGGCTCCATGGCATCTGCCGCACTTCCCTTCTTCCCAGCATTCTGTTCTATTTACTTCGCCTACCTAATTTTCTGTCCTATCAGAGGGCCAAGGCAGTCTCTTTATTAACCAATGAAAATAACACATAGACAGAAGGCCCACCTACATCAACAAATAATCAGAACTGGTGCACTTAAGAAATTCCTGTGGCAATGTCTTTGTAGTATAAATCTCCCAACTGCCTAAGTGGCCAGACTTGCAGTCTCCCTTCTCTGTTTACATTGTTAAGGTCTGACTTGAGATGGGGACCTGAGAGATTTAAGGATGAGAGTGTTTGTGGGATGCATAAACCTTAGATGTACATAGTTAATAGAATCTTCTATTCCAGGCCGGCTTCTCATGGAGCAGTAGTCAGAGTCCGATCAGCACCATTCAAGAGATTTGCCTTCATTGATCCCTAACTATATGGGGTGGTTTCTCACTGGGAAGGTGTAAGGAGCCGCCAGGATGTTGCCTTGGCGAGATAGTGCCAGCGGTCCTACAGCCTGGAGGTATACAAATCCTTTGATGTTGCCACACAGGCCAGTGTGCTTGGGGCCTTGTTTTGCATTTCAGAGACTTGGTTCCCTGACCTGTCCTGTGGCCTTGGGCCCTAGCAGAATGGCATCAACCAATCAGCATTCGAGCCTCTCACCCTAGAAAAGCGGCTGTCTTTGGGTTTTTCACTCTCTCTCGTCATCCCCTTTCCCCATTCCCCTATTCAACCAAGTAGCTCTAATAAATTGTGATTGAGAAGGATTCTTGATTTTGTGGTCGTCCATTCCTGCTGGTCAGGAAGCACGTCACAGGAAGGCAGTTTGTTTCTACATCAGTACTAACATTTTGATGTGACTCGATTGGCATTGTGTTAGTATGACAAAAGTCCCTTCTTTTGGAGATGGAAAATCTTAAGGTTAGAGGTCATGATGTGTGTATCTGTAATATAGCAAAATAAACAGAGCACAGGACTGGAGATGTGGCTCAGCTGGTACAGTGCTCACCTTTCTTCACGAAGCCCAGGTTTGATGTCCCATACTGTGAGACACAAAAGTGGTGGCACATGCCTTTTTCCAACCCATTGGAATGACAGGTAAGAGGACCAGAAATCTAAGGAACAAGGGCCCTCTTCCTCTCCACTTCCTCTCCCCTCCCATATTTCACCTCTACCAGAATAAATTCTTAATGGAAGCTCTCTCAAGTGTACTCTCTGGAGCTGTGTGGCTGTGAGTAAGAGTTTAACCTCTTTAGAATTCCCAGTTCTTAATGGGTAAAGGAGAATTATTGAAACCATCTTTTAGGACTGAACAAACTATGTGAGGATATTTATATGAAAAGCACTTAAAACATAACGTGGCATGGCATACACCTACTCTATTCATTTGTGGATTCTGTATTCTTAAAAAGATTTATTATTAATTCTATGACAATTCTGTAACTGATGTCCTATCCCAGGCACTGTTGAGAGGGTGAGGTATTGAACACAGGTGCTCCTCCTCTCAGTGGACTTTGTTTTTCTAGTGGTTTTCAGCACTGGTAAAGCTTTGAATATTTTGTTTAAACCGTTAATCTGTTTGAAAGATACAGAGAAAATATTTCTTCAAACAAAACTCAGATAGTAACGCGGGTTCCTAACTATTATTTTAGATAAACTTTCTTGAGTTCTTTCTGATAGCTTTTTACAAACCGTCTTGCACACTTTACCTAACTCCCTTTCTACTTCTTTTCCCAGAGCTTACCATCCTTCTCCTCCATCTTAAAGGAGGTCCAGATTTTTGCATCAAATTGAGCAGAATATGTTTGGAGTTCCTCAACTGCAAGTCCTATTACAGAGAACTGATGTTTGCATTTGAACTCTGTCTCCATTCCAACCTGTGGGCTTGGGCACATCAGCTCCTTAGCCAGAGATCCTTTCACTTAACGCAAAATCTACATAGGACTCGCTTCCCATGGCGGTTGTGGAAGTTAGCAAACAGAGATAATTTCTGGTAAGAATTTGACACAATATTTTCTTGAGGTGTGTCTATAAATATTATAACCACATTATAACCACAGTCGACTCGGGTCATCCTGAGTTCTGAGTCACATAGTTCTTCTCGCTCAGACACTTCCTTCTTGTATTTTGGGAATATTAGATACACTGAAACATTCTCGAACACTTTTATTCTTCCTGTTGTTGGTATTGGATATGGGAAATGCAGTTGTCAAACTATTTCATCTATATTAAAGAAGCGTTTAATTTTAAAAATTATATACTCTTTGGAACAATAACAAGAAAGAGCTACATAAACTGATGCACGTTTTGAAACTCGATTCGTGACCAGGGCATTTGGTCTATTATCACCCTGCCCTTGTTGGAGTTGTTGTCTCCTGGGAAACCACCTGAGTTGCCCTAACTCTCATCTTCCTTCAGTGCCTCAAGGATGGCGCTGCAGAACCCGGAGTCTGTGCGTCTCTGCCTTAGCCTTGATGGTGAGGCAGGCAGGGCTCAGCCTCCAACTGCCACCCCGAAGTAGGCTGTTTCCAAACGCCCAGCTGAGGGCTTTTCCCGCGTTTTCAAGCCCCGCCCAGAGTTCTGTCGCGGTTTGAGACAATTCTAACCCCCAGATAGAGAAACCCAAGAGGTAGAACTGACGCCAATCCGTTCAAACTGGCTGGTGATTGGCTCCGGGGAGGCTTGTGTCACAAGCTGCTAATTCTGTAAAAGACCAGTCCAAGACCTTGCAATCCCCATTGGGTAAGCGCTGTTTTTAGGCGCACTTTTTTTTCTGGCAGAGAGCCATTTCTGTGACTGGCAGAAACCATCCTGCCGCGACAGAAGAGCGAGGGGAAGGTGAGTTTGTAGGGAGATCGGCTCTTGTGAGGGCTTACCCCTCACTTCCGGGTCGACCCGAAGCCTGGTAGGACTGGCAGGCAGTGGGTTGATGCAGAAAAACCGCAAACAATTTATCGGTGAGAAAGAGTTGGGAGGAGAGTGAGCTCAGTTCCATTTGGGTGGTACCTGCAGTTGCTGGGAGAGTAAAAGAACAAAAAGAAAGAATTTAATGTTTCTGGTTTTGTTTTTTAATGCTCAAGGAAGAATACCTCTAGTTTAAACAACTGGTGTCTGTAGTAGCCACTGTTCTTTTTCTGAAAAGGCCTCCTTAAATGAACTAACCCGTGTCTGATTGTGTGCTGATATGAATGTGGTTTCCTGTCTATGCTTCTCTCCAGCATAAAAATGTAGGGTGTTACGGACAGATACTGACTTCCTGTCTCAGACGTGCTCAGCGTGCTCGGGTGGTGGAGCCACATGTGCTGACTTGGTATGCCCCAGTTAACCTGACTCTGAGTTAGCCATGTTACCCGTTTCCACCACCATAAATGCACCAAGGCAGGAATGTTCTTTGATTTCAGTAGCTTTCTCAAGGAAAATATCAAAGGTATTTATTTGTAGCCCTGGTCCCAAAATCCTGGGTTTAGTATCTCACCAATCCTGCTCTGTTACAAATTCCCTTACCTCCACATTAAAGCCTGAGTTAGACCAGAGTTTAGAATACCAGATCCATTTTCCCTTCCTCAACCTTGCTCTTCTCCTTCAGCAGGAACAAACATTTGTTAAGTAACTATTGCCTCAATAGCGGTAAGTTTACCTTGGTTTTATCAACAGGTTTCTGGAGGCCACGTTGGACATTATCAACCTCCAGCTAGAACTGTGTGTTTCTCTATTTCTTCAGTCTTCTGTACTCTCTGACTGCAAAGGTGAGAAAGGCATTATTGTGTTAGATTTTCAGTGTGTTTTATTGCATTTCACAAATTCTTAATTTTATTCCTATAGGTAATGGTACCTTTTAATAAATTCTTTTTTTGTTTATAGTTTCTTTTTTAAATTTTTTATTTTTTTATTAAAAATGTCCACCTCCTCCTATTTTCCTCCCCCATTTAATAAATTTTTATATTATCAGATGTTGAAACGTTTGGAGTTTGTTTTTAAAGAACTTATCCGAGGCCTTCCCAGACAGCACAAGAACCTTTGTCTTGCAAAATTTGAGGCCAGAGAGAATCCCTGTCTCAAAAAACAAAACAAAACAAATCAAAAATAAAACAAAAAATTGTAAAGGTGATATGTGTACCACAACTGTGTTAACATTTAATGTGAATAAACTGGCACTGTTATTATGAGGAAATATTCCTGAACTTTTTGAGATGGAAAGTGATTCAGGGTTAAAATGTCACAGTGCCTCTAAGTTAATCTAATAAAATTAAAAGGCAGTGTGGGACTCGGAGGTCGTTCCATTGGTAGACTTCTTGCCCAGCATGCGTGAAGCCTTGGGTTGGATTCTAAGGATCACACAAACCTGACATGACAGCACATCATTGAGATGCTAACACGTAGAGGCACGAAAATCAGAAGTTCAGTTTTCAAGGCCAGCCTTGGCTACAAAAGACGTTTTCTGAAGAAGAAAAAAAAGAACAGTTATTAATGATGGGTGTGATGTTTGGAAATTCACTGTGACTGATTCTTTCCTCTGTCTCTGTTTTCTCTGTCTCCTGCTCTTTCTGCTCTTTCCGTTTACGTTAGAAAACATTCACAGTAAAGCTCTCCAAAGTGTATTCTTTCAAGTTTCTGTCCTGAGAGAAAGTTTAACTCCTTTGGAATTTCATGTTCTTCGTGGGTGAAATAAGGCTGACAACACCAATTTCACGTGCTTGAAAAAATTATTTTGTTTAAAACATTCCTTTTCTTTTTAGAGACAGCACATGGAAAGGTAAATGTAAATACATACTTCTTCACTCTCTCTCTCTCTCTCTCTCTCTCTCTCTCTCTCTCTCTCTCACACACACACACACACACACACACGCACCTATACACATACTCCAAAAAACAAAATAACAAACAAACATCACCCCCACCATTAAAGGAAACAAGCAAACTCTAAATTATTAATTGTGTCCTGAGTATCATCTTGGATAACTTTCATATTTCTTTTACATATGTCCTTCTAAATTTCTTTTGTTCTCAGGGTACTACCCATTTTCTTCCTATCTGTCCCCCTGTATTACAACCGTCCTCCCATATCTACTCTAAGTAAAGACCAGATTTTTAACATCTGTGTAAATTAAAACACTCTTTTGAGTTCCCCGATTGCAAACCTCTGTTGGAATTTATATCTACTCTTGGTTTGTCTATCTGCTTCAAGCAGTGAGCACATTACCGTCCTTGCCAAAGATATACCCACCCACCCCAAATTCTAGCTAGAACCTGCTGTCCATGGCGGCAGTAGGGGTTAGCAGTTAGATGTAGTTGAGGCTGTGTCTGCTCTGGTTCCTGACACGTGGTTCCTTGATTTGATTTCTGGGGTGACTCTGCTGGATGGATAAAGTCTTGGCTGTGAAGTGATCACCCTGTGAGAAGCAAGACTGAAGAGGGGGAAGGTGTGATGTGGGACCTCGGAAAATATTCACCCTTATACATCAACTATGAAGATGCTGATATGGCTTGAAACCATTTTGAAATTAGCAAATTCATCCGAGTTATCTGTTTCAGGTCCAGTCCATCCGGTGTTAGAGGCATACCTCACAGAACATCCTAGTTCATGCAAAGAAAAAGCATGGAAATCCTGCGCTACTTTTCTCAGGTATGTCTGTAAATACTGCACATCCATAGCAGAAGTAGCAACCTTTGATCCTCAGTTACAAGGTTCTTCCTGCCAGGAAACTATCTGACTGTGAATTGGGAGTATTACATACTCTACTTCGTGTCCATTTGCTTCTTTCTAGCTCGGCGGATGGCACTGGGGAAGGGAATTATAAAACAAATAGAATCCATCTCAAAGTGCCCTTAATTGAAAAATAATACTGCCTGGAGCAATAAGGGAGGAAAAAGATAAAATATATTGTGTAAGATTAAACTGGGGAAAAGCCAAATGGGTGTAGTTCCCTGGAGTGGAAACTTCTTTCCGAGTGTGGCTTAATCCTAAGAAAGTTTACCCGTATAGTACTTTGTAGTTTATGAAATGACTGTGTCATTCATGTTTACTATAACCCTGTTAGGCTTGTGAGAAGGATTTGCTTACAGAATCTCTGCTTCATGTGAGCCTCCCTGAGGTGCTCTCCAGATTGAGTATCGTGGCTGTACTGACTAAGAAGGGTGAGAAGTGTCAGACATTTGAGATGCTCCTTCAAAGTCATCAGCTCGTTTTCATTATTCCACATTCTAGAAAACTAGAAAATCCAAACACCTAGATATCCATGAAAAGTTTAAATCTGTTTCCGCCGCCACCCACCCCTAGCTTTGTGGTTATCAACAAGCTAATAACCACATACACAATCCCCTGTTTTCTTTCTTAAGTATCACGCCAGGCATGATGGCACATGCCTGTAATCTCAGAACTCTGATTAGAGAAGGAAGGGGATCATAAGTTCTGGGAAGTCTGGGCTCAGTGTCTCAACACTCAAAACAGAACTCTTGGATAAAATATCTACGGTCTCTGCCATGGCTGAGGGAATGAGAACACCTAAAGTACAGACTTAAGCACCTGACTTAGATGCCTGGAATGTGTGAAGAGAACCGGCTCCACACTACTGTCCTTTGCCCTCCACATGAGTGGCCCAGCATGCTTCAGGCCTGCACTCTCCCATACAAACAATCATGATGCTTTTAAGACTCTCTGGTGAATACTCAAAAGGGTATCTCAGTTCTTTCTATTGTGAATTTGAGACCAACCTGAGCTACAGATCTAGGTCCACAGTAGCCATGGTTATTCAGTAAGACTCTCCTCTCAGTTCTGTGCATGCATGTGCAAAGAAATTACAAAAGAGTTCTAAACATTTTTCATGTTTAAAAATGTAATCTATTGTTTAAAATAATAAACAAATTATAAATAAAATGCTTTCTATTGGAACTGGTAGATTTTGAGACATCTAGATGAGTTCTGCCCTTTCTTCCTGTTTATTGAGAAAATATAGCACATACTGTACAAAAATATCACAGGAATGCCATTGTAGTCACAGTTTTCTAAAGTGTCTACCATTTCTCTTTAGGTCCCCAAGGAGCAGAATGACCCCATAATTTCTCAAGGGAAAATGGAATGTAGAAAAAGACCAAAGGAGGTGATCAAAAACCAGGACCAAAGATCACACTGGGAAGAAAAAAACCAACAAGTTCAGAACTCTTTCCAAAATACATCAATTACTATCACTTTTGGTGTAAACCATGCAATCTGTGAGGTCACAGATAAGGGGACAAGTAACTTATATGAGGCACTGAAAACCCTTGACCTTGTCAAAAGGGAGATAGAAAAACAGCCAGGCAAAGAAATGCTGGCGTGTGGCAAAGAAGGAATAGAAGGGTACATAAACCTTGGTATGCCCCTCCGTTGTTTTCCACAAGGCAGCCATGTGGTCATTACATTTTCCAACACTGAAAGTGAGGAGAAAGAAGACAATGAAGTGTGTGGCCGCTTTGACCAGTCATCTGTTGAGTGTGTTGTATTTTACATTCATGCAGTCGGGAATAGGGAGCAAAGGATTCTGAGGTGCAGGGAACTTCACAAGGAGGGCACCAAACTCTGTGTCTATGGCTTCAAGGGAGAGAGCATCAAGGCCACTCTGAGGAAGGATGGCAGGTTTCACTCCTTTGTAGAGAGTGACCATTGGACACTCATTAACAATGACATCATCGTAGCAAACAGCCAGCCAGTTGATGTGTTGGAGGGCAAGCTCTTTCAGATTGATGTTGAGAGAAAGGAGCGCTCTTGGGCAGCAGTGGCAAGTCAGAAATCTGAGTTAGAGGACAGAAACTTCACTGTATTAAAAGAATGCATTGTGAATTTGTACCCAATGATGAAAGGAGAACAGGAAAAACTGAGAACATACATCAAGGAAGAGAGTGAGAAAAGAGAGAACACTTCCTTACTCAAAGCTCATAGAGAAAACTTCAGGAAGCTGACCCAAAGCTCCATCCCATGTAAAGTCCTCAGACTTCTTTCCCAGCTCAGTGACTCAGTTGGGTTCATGGTTTGGAACAACAATGGAAACAGGGGTAGTGCTACTTGCTTCCTTTTTAAAGGGCTGTACATTTTCACTTGTCGACATGTCATAAATGACATAGTAGGGGAAGGCATAGAGCCAAGTAAGTGGGCAGATATAATTGGGCGTTGTCTAAGAGTGACGTTTGATTTTCAAGTGTTCCCTGTCAAAGAAGACAGCTATCATTTTGTTGAACCTTGGTTTGAGGTGTCAGATGTCACTCTTGACTATGCTGTCCTGAAACTGAAGGAAAGAGGACAACACATCCCTACAGGACTCGGTAATGGAACACCTTCTGAATCACTTAGTGGATTTCTATTTATGATTGGTCATCCAGATGGAAGATGTAAGGTTGTTGATTGTTGTACTGTGATGCCTAAAGGCAAGCAAAGAAGGAAATGTGAGGATATTCATGGAAGAGGAGCAGTGGGTAGCAGGGATCCTATGCAGTATATCTATATGTACACCCAAAGAAGTTTCCAGGGAAAAGTCCATGAAGCTGGTGTGGTTTCCTTGGATAACACTTTCTATTGTGGGTCTTCGGGATCTCCTGTATTCGATTCTAAAGGGTCACTGATAGCCATGCACACTGCTGGCTTCATTTGTGAGTATGAAAGTGGGATTTCCAGTATTATTGAATTGGGATCTTCAATGAAACACATCCTTGATGATATTAAGCAAAAACATGAAAAATGGTACAATGAAATTTGTGTACAACAGGCTGTAGAAATAGTGAGTCTAGAACACTCAGGACTTCGAATTTAGGCAGTTTCCTATTTGCTGTAGGAAGTCCTACAGCCAGTGGTTACCTGTCCACTGGGGCGTTGCCTCCTATACTATATAAGCGGATGTAGAGCATGCCTCTGCTCCCTTTTTCTGGCTGCAGGATTTGGTTGCTGTTCTTCTTTCAAGTAGAGGATTCTGATTTGTGAGTCTACTTCTAAATAGATAACTGTCTGTTTCTGAATTCTGAGCTAGTTTGGGATTTTTTTAAATCATCTTTCTTTACCTATTGTTAAAGCAGTTGTCTCTGCATTGTTTTTCTGTAGGCAATGATAATATATTTTTTGGACTTTTAAATGGCGGTTTTCCTTTCATGAACAATTGATGTTTTAGTCTATGTCCCTTTTCATTGTAAATAATTTTTCAGTGTATTCTGATCAGAGTTTCTCCTTCCTCAACCCCTCCCAGATAATCCCCTTCTTTCCACCCACCCAAATCCACACCATATATTTTTCTTTCTCATATAAGAAAACAAGCAGGCGTCTAAAAAGATAAATAAAACAAACAAAAAAATAACAAGATTGGAACAAAACAACAGAAAAGAGAGCCAAAGTAAAAGGAAAAGAAACACATAGAGACACAGAAACACATACATTCACACACAAAGAAATAATGTAAAAAATATACAACTGCTAACATCAACCTATAAGCAAATAACACACCATATTTGTCAGTCTGGGTCAGATTTACCTATCTGAGGATGATTTTGTTCTAGCTTTGTTTACTTCCCTGCAAATTTTATCATTTGAGGGTCTTTTTCTTTTTTATTTTTTTGTCAGCATCTAACATGATAGCAGTTTTATTCTGGTTTTAATGTTATGATAAATAGCTTTAAATTTTTTATTCTGAAAGAGCACAGCTACAGAAAATTGAGCAAAGTGTGGCTATGACACTCTGATTTCTGATCGCACAGAACAATGTCATCTCTACCCCACTTGAGGGTCTTTTTAACTGCTCAGTAATATTTCATTTTCTTCCTTCACTTAACTGCTGATGGACATCTAGGCTGTTTCCAGCTGAACATGGTTAATCAAGTGCCTCTGTAGTAGGATGCAGAATCCTTTAGGTATATTCCCAGGAGTGGTATAGTCAGATCCTGAGGTAGACCTATTCCCAGCTTCCTGAGCATCCTCTACACTGTTTTTCCTTAGTGCCTGTACAAATTTGCACTCCCACCAGCAATGTATGAGCACTTCCCTTACATCACACCTTCAGTATGAGCTATCCCCTTGTTATATTGATCTTAGCCAATCTGACTGGTATAAGATGATATCTCAAAGTAATTTTGATTTGCATTTCCTTGATGACTGTTGGCCATTGGTATGTCATCTTCTGAGAATTCTCCTTTTAGATCTGTAGTCCATTTTTAAATGGGTTATCTGCTTTCTTGATAAACATGCTTTTTTAGTTTTTAATTTATATATATGTATATATTTGATATTACCCCTCTATGGGATACAGTTGGTAAAATCGTTTCTCATTCTGTAGCCCGCCACTTTGTGATGTGGGATTCCCCTTTGTATGCTGTGAATACGATCGGTTAATAAAGAATCTGTCTTGGGCCTGGCAGGGCAGAATAGAGGTAGGCAGGGCAAATAAAACTGAATGCTGGGAGAAAGAACGTGTAGTCAACCATGAACCTGCCGCTGGGAACAGACATGCATGAGAAACTTTTATGTTTAGTAACGTCCCATTTATTAATTATTTTTCTTAGTGCCTGTGCTATCAATGTCCTGTTCAGGAAATCTTTCCTATGCCAATGAGTACAAGGGTATTCAACACTTCCTTTTCTATTAGTCTCAGGGTCTCTGACTTTATGTTGAAATGGTTGATCCATTTGAAGTTGAGTTTTTTTCAGAGTGATAAATATGGATCTCTTTGCATTCTTCTACAAGGAGATATCCGTTATGACTAGGAGTATTTGTTGACAACGCTGTCTTTTCTCCAGTGTATACTTCTAACTTATTTATCAAAAACCGGGTTCTCAGAGGTGTGTGGAGTTGTGTCTAAGTCTTCAATTCTATCCATTGATCAGCATGTCCATTTTTATGCCAATACCATGCAATGTTTATTACTTTAGCTCTCCAGCACAGGCTGAGGTCAGGCATGGTGACGTCTCCAGAAGTTCTTTTATCTTTCACAAGCGTTTTATCTAACCTGAGGTTTTTCTTTTGTTTGCTTTTTATTGGTTGTTGTATTTCTCCACATAAAGCTGAAAATTATTTCCGAAATTGTTTTTGGTCATACTCTTTTGCTTGTTTTGTTATTGTTTATTTATTTGTTTTTATAATGATATTTATATTTTAAAAAATAAATGCTACCTGAAGATCAGAAGGTAATGTAAACCACTAGAGGCCAGGCAGTCTTGTCACACACCTTTAATCTTAGGATTTGGGAGATAGAGGCAGATGGATATCTGCGAGTTCAAGGCCAACCTGGGCTATACAGGATCAATGCAGAAATAGATCCAGATAGTGGTTGCTCACACATTTAATCCCAGTACTAAGGGACTCAGGGCTCAGTGTGCAGTCATCAAGCCTTGGTAGAGGTAAGACTCCTATAGTGGCTTGGCTGTTTAGCTTTTCAGATCTTCAGATTGAACCCCAATATCTGTCTTTGGGTTTTTATTCTTCATGCCACAGCTTTTTTATATCACAGAAACAGAATGGGACATAACTCTAACACCCAGACATTCATCTCTCAAAGTAAACTCATCAACAGTAATGTTCTGATTAGTTATGTATTACCCTAGCTGATTATCCAACAAAGCTATCTCTCTCCAACCATCAGTTGCTTACAGAGTTCTAAAGTGTTCACCTTCATAGGGAAAATGTTAGAGGCAACAACTGACAGTTAAATAGTGATTCATTGATTTGTTTTAGATCATTTTTATCAACACTTTGAGATTTCCATGTATCATATTTTGACCATATTCATTCCTGCTTGTTGCAGATTCACCCCTACCTTTCTACCTACCCAGTCTGCGTCTCTTCTCCTTTCACATTTACTAGTCCATGGATCCCCATATGCTTTGTGCATAAACCTCTAAATGTGGGGCCACCCACCAGAGTATGGTCTACCTACCAAAAACCACACCCTTAAAGAAAACTGACTCCTAGTCCCCTAGAAACCATCAATTTTCCATAGCTCCACAGTTAGTATTGGGGCAGAGATCAACTAATTCTATTTCTTACAGATACCTGGTTTACTTATTATCAATACCTGTCTTAGTTAGGGTTTCTATTGCTGCGATAAAACACCATGAGCAAAACCAACTTGGGGACGAAAGGGTTTATTTTAGCTTATATCTTGTAATCCACTGCTTAGGAAAATTGAGGTAGGAACGTGTAGGTGGGACCTGAAGTAAAAGCCAAGAATGAATGCTGCTGACTGGCTTACTCCCAAGGCTTGCACAGCGAGCTTCCTTATAGAACCCTGACTACTTGTCCAAGGGTGGCACTCCCTGCTGTGGCCTGGGTCTTCCCATATCAACAGCTAATTGAGAAATGGCACCGCAAGCTTGCCTATGTGCCAATATAGTGGGGACATTTTCTCAGTTGAGCTTCCCTCTTTCTGTATGACTCTAGATTGTATCAAGATGACAAAACACTAGCCAGCATACCACCTTCTTAGACCATAGAAATATCTATTTCTGCAGTGTTGTCCAAATGCTCAGCTCTTTACCTGCTATTTTCATGGCTTAATCACACTGGTATCTGGTGATACAGGCTGTGTCTTGTTTGTAGTGTATCTTCATTGCCTAGCATGGGGTTAATGTGTACACAGGTGTAGTACACAGCACATATTTCAATAAACGAGTCCTGGAAGTACAGTGAAAGTCTCTGAAACACAGATACAGCTACATGTACATGAATGCTGCTGATCCATGGACACAAAGCAGTAGTAAATACACATGGGTGTTAATTTGTATGTGAATGAGAAATAACATATCCATTAGAGAATGTGTTCAGGCTGTTTTTGTTTGTTTGTTTGGCTTTTCTCAATTTTATTTGTTTTTATGTGTATGGTATTTTGTCTGAACATATGTCTATATACCACATGTGTTCCTGGTATCCATAAAAGCCAAAACAGTACATCATATCTTCTAGCACTGGAGTTACAGAGAGTTGTGAGCTGTCATGTAGGTCCTGGGAATTGAACCCAGGTCCCCTTGAAGAGCAGGCAGTGCTCTTAACCACTAGCCCACATTTACATCTCAAATTTCTTCTGCTTTTAATCTGATGCATGCCATTTATTTCTAAACATGCTTGAATCAGGGCTCTAAGCATGCTTGAGTCAGGCCCTCTTCCCAACATGGGAGATTCTCCATATACTTAGAGCATAATTAATTAAATGTTACTAAATTAATTTGTCAGAGCACGCATACATTCCTTCCTTTGAGGTACTGGTTTCGTAAATGATTTTTAAGTTTGCATACCTTAAGGTTCACTGTGAACTGTAAATTTCTACTGGCTTTAGCAAGTGTATAAAGTCATGTATTGGTCCTTAGGCTGTCCTAAAAGTCTGTGATTTGTTTCTTTGTTTCATTTCTCCCATCTGAACCAAAGTGAATCACAGATTTATGGTGCTCACAATTTCATCTATTCCAGAATGCCATATCACACAGAATCATATCCTATGCAACCTGTTGGAAGTGACTTATAAGCCATTAAAGTTTCTTCTGTATCTTGTGCTTTGAGATCTCATTTGCATTTGCTGTTGATTAATGCTGGATGGATTTATCACAGTTATTCACATTTATTCACCTTTTAACAGTCTCACAGTTGCTTTTAGGTGCTGTGATTATTAATAAAAACGCTAAAGACTTCTGTGTTTTCGTTGTTTCAATGAAATATATTAATACTTTTGAGTAAATACCAATTAACAGATGTGATTGATGGATTCAATTCTAAAATGATATTTAGCTTTGCAAAAATCTTCCAAAATTCCTTTCAAAGGACCTACAATTTTGAATTCTGATTCTAAACAAGAAACATACTATTCCAAACCCCTCCCTAAATCTCATATTATCAAGTTCTAGGTTGTGGTTTGTATGATTGATTTGGACTTGAGGTATATTAACTTGGATGTCTGGAATTCTTCATTGATTACCATGTTGTTGTTTTTTTTTTTTAAAGAAATTGAGGATGTTTGGGGCAAGTTGGGATGTAAGAGAGCTGCTATAGATAGTGTAGGAACTAGGGGCTCTTTGAGGAGGAGTGGGATAGAAGATATTTCTAAAGTGCAGCTAGAGAGTATCAGACTAAGCCTGCGGGAGAGGGAGAAAATTCCCTGACAGAAGTGCAGATGTCTGAGAAGTTGCTGTGACTTCCTACCATGACACGGGCCACTTATGGAGAAATCACAACTACATTACTTATAAGTAAGATATTTGCAATGCCCTGTCTGATGTCCATGACCTTCGGAATAAGAATATCCACCACTAGGTTTCCGCCTTCCAAGATGCCCATACATGTTTTTAATTGGCAAATGTTAGCCCAGAAAATACATGAATGTGAAGGAAATAGTTCTTGACCTTGTCAGGCAGTAGCATTACTACTGCTCGTAGATAAGGAGCCCCCATGTGTTACACACACACACACACACACACACACACACACACACACTCACAAGTTATCGATTTCAATGTGTTGGTAATAGAGATTATAATGAATCTTACAACTTCACTAACCACTGATGCCAAACCATTTGTGAATTCTCTATCCCACAAGTAACACTCTAAAAAAATCCTACTGTCAGTGTTTTTGTCCATCTGAAATGGGTGACTTTTCAATTGCCCCCTTTAATAGATGACGTCGTCATAGAAAAGTATGCCTAAGAGTTCCATATCAAAATTGGGCACAGGAATTCATCTCTTTTCTACAATAAACTCCCATGTTTCCATCGATGTTTGTGTTCTATCTAGAAATTCCAAGTGACCTGAAGACATTTGCACTTTCTATTGATTCATTTTATTAATGAGACTATATTTTGAGACTGGATTTCAGGTATTCCAGGCTAGCATCAATCTCACTATATAGCCAAGGTTAACCTGGAATTATCTGTTGTCTCTGCATTTCTGCAAGTGTACCTGTGTGTGTATGGCATGAATGTTTATCTTTGGTTTCTGCCTAGGTACATGACTGAGCATATATATCTATGTGGGCAAACAAGATGTGTTGTGAGTGTGCGAAAGCCATAAAACAACATCAGGTGTTTCATACATTCATTCTTTGCCTTAGTTTTTGAGACAGTTTCTCTCCCAGGACCTGCAGATTACTGATGTGGCCAGGCTGACTGTCCAGCAAGCCCTAGGATTGTCCTCTTTGGCGTCCTCTGTAGTAGAATTACAGGCAACATAGGGATCAACTGGATTTTTCTGTTTACTAATTATCCAATTCTGGGGTTAATGCTCATGCAGAGAACACTTTATGGACTGAAACATTTCTCCCACCATGGAACTCCTGCTCCTCTCACAAGTTCTTGAAGTTCTGACCCACCTGTCTCCCTCTCCCAAGTGCTGGGATTACAGGAATATGCCATTACCTCAGGTGAATAAGTGGCCAGGAACCAAATTCAAAGCATGCTAGGTAAGCATTCTGCCAAATGGACTTCATACTCAGCTCTCTAAAGGCTGTATTCATGCATTTAGTTTATGAAAACCAAATTTCTTCATGACATGAAAATGTCATGGAGTTTTGGCTTATTCAACCTACCATCCACTCCTCTCTCCACCCATCTCACTTCATGTCCATCCTACTCCCAGAATTCCCCCAATATTGATACCATGTTTTCCGATGATCTCCTTGACCATCTCCTCAAAGCTTTTGCATATCATCTCTGTCCCTTCTGTCTCAAGGGTCCCTTTCTACTTCCTGCCTCTAGCCATGTTCTCTTCCACCCAAACTCACATCCAAAGGCTTTCAATGTGGCCTTTTGCTCAGTTCTCATTTCTGCCTAAAACTTTCCTTCTATTTCCCACGGTGTTTGTCATAAGTTATTCTCTAAGTGTTAAAGAATAACAGAAATATTGAATTCAGATTTTGAAAATTACCAATCTATGTACATAGCTGACTTAAAATCTTATTTATGACTTACAAAAGAATATGATATATTGGTGATAGGATGTGCACTGTCATAGATACTTAAAATGGGATTATTTAGTCCTCATATATGTGAAACTCAGAGTTCAATCCCTTTTTTTTTTGAAAAAAGGTGGATGTGTCATCAGGAAGCAATCTGACACTCATGCTAACAGTTTAGAGAGAATATTTCGCTGAGGGCAGCTATGACGTGCCTGAGAAACTACAGAAGTCAGAAGGACTGAACGCAATGGTATGGGAAGGTTGAGAACAGACACTACTCACCAGCAATTGCATTGATTCTTCACTCCGCCAGAGCTGAGTTACATGCTGGAAATTTCTGTCCAGTTGGCAGTAGAGAACAAACTACCAACACTTCCTCACAAATCCCTTTTTTTTTTCTCCAGATAGCAGCAGAAATGATGTCAACATGCATAAATAGTCCTTGAAGTTTGGAATTCAAATCTGAACAATAATGAACATCAATGCACGGATCCCTTAAATGAAAGCTCCATCTAATTAGAGAACACTGTACTTGCAGAATGGGGTAAAGTCACTGAGTCTCTGCTCGTCTCCAAGATGAAGTAACACTTTCAGAAGACATAGAAAATCATTTTATTATGATCAATGTTGTTGATAGATACAACAACTCAAGGGTATATAAGCCTGTGGCTGCCTCTGAAATGGCTGGTCTAATGCCCAACGTATTGGTAGGAGGGTAAAGATTCTGAAGAGGAAGGAATTTCGCAAAAATGAAGTATATTTTATATCTATATGCCCAAGTGGTGAGACTGTCAAAAGTGCTCTGTAAAGTTGGCCAACTCTGGTCTGACCTAAATGAACTCAAATGGACACTGCCATAATTAGCTTTAGCTGTCACCTTGACACAAACCTAAAGCCACCTGGGAAAAGTGAACCACTACTGATGAACTTTCCACACCAGACTGTCCTGTGGCCATATCTGTGAAGCATCCAGGGGAGAGCCCTCTGTGGGGAGGCCCAGCCCTAGGCAGGGGGGCCTCGATTGTAGAAGAAAGGAAACTAAACAAGAAAGCAAGCAGTGCTCATGTGTTTTCTCCTTCAAGCCCTTGTTTGAACTTCCTACCTTGCCTTCTCCTGATGTTGGATTGTAACCTGTTAAGTGAAATAAACTCTTTCTTCCTCAGGTTGCTTTTGGTCAGAGTGGTTTATTGCAGTAACAGAAAAGCTGTCTAGAACAGACACTAAGAGAAGGTCATAAGATAACTGATGGACAACGGTCTAAAGTGGATATCAAGTTTAAAAACTCAGATCAAAAGGCTTAGAAATAAACAAATTCTAGAGAATAAACCTATTGAACTTTTTTGTCTTTGTGGACTGACTACAGACAGATTCTTTGGAGAAATTATACAACAGACCCCACACGGGAAGGCATTATGCTACGAATCTGGGTATCTAGAAGGTAGCTCATCTCTTGATGAATTTTCAATGTTGGACAAAGCCATAATGAATCTATATCAGAATCGTATTGTTGGAAGAGAAAATATTTTGAGAAAGAATATAAAATAACAATTCCTAGCATTTTAGAATTCCATCACAGGAACTGGAGAGAGGGATCAGTGGTTAAGAACATTTACAGCTTAGTCAGAGATGCTCAGTATAAATCCCAGCATCCACACAGCAGCTCACAAAAACTTGTAACTGCAGTTCATAACTCCAACATACATATTATCCAGTATTCGTATTCAGAAAAACAAAAATAAGTACTTTATAAAAATTTATCACTTTGAAAATGATTGGAAATCCTGGTACAGTTTTAGTAAAAGAAGCAGTTCTTGAAATTAGTTCTTTTCTTCTCTACTTGGAGGAACAGATGAGCCTGTCCTGAGCTTCTTCATGTCCAGGCTTTGAAAGTTGCAGTTCCAAACATCTTGTCTTTGTTTCCCTATGATGATGATTGTATGCTCTAAGAGTCAGTGAGGTCATAGATCCAAGTTTGTGGCCACACATAGCAATAAACAAAGGTAGCCTTTTGTTGTAAAGAGTTCTGGAGCTCTCTGGGGTTGCATTTCCCTTTGAGACATGGATTGCATGGTATGATAGAATTCTAGAGTATAAAATTAAATGGGAAAATAGAGGAACTGGAAAGATAGGTCAACTGGTCAATTTAGGAAGACCGTGTGTAAAAAAAAAATAGAAAAATTCAATGTGTGAAAAGGATGGGGATATTAGTTCAGTGATAGAGAACTTACCCAGTGTGCACGAGATCTAGAGTTTAATGTCTAGAGTCTTGGAAAAAGAGAAGGCAGTGGGGGGGGAGAGAAGGAAAGAAAAATTAGAGACATGGTTCTACCGAGATTTTTGAAATTGTGGCAAGCTGCTCTTGGATGCAATGGAGACTTTCCCACTTTCGGTGCAATGAGCTAAGATGCCTAATAAATCAAAATCCACCAGAGACACTCTAAACCCAAACCCGTGTCTTCTAAACTCAAGAAGGAAACTTCACAGCCCAGGGGAGGATAGCTCGTAGAAAAAAGGTGAAATACAGGATTATAGGCAGAAACAAAGAGAAGGAAAGAACACAGAGATCCCAGGAAATAGAACAACATAAAACTATTTGTCTAGGGGCATTTTTCTAGGACTTACAGCAGAAGGTGGGGTAAGGCAAGGAGGGCATTCAGGCCAGTCAGCCTACCTACGAGGTGTCCAAGAGCTCAGTCATGACCTCAGGGCCGTTTCCAGACAGTGGGTTTTGTATTTAAGGTTGTGTAAATGGGGCAGAAATGTAAATGGAGCAGAAATAGAAAAAGAAGCCAGAGCAAGAACCATTTCTGACATTTCTGGCATCCAGTCACGACACAACCAAGGACATTTCCAGCTTCTGTACAAGAACTGAGGTCCCTATCCCTCAACTGCCTCTTCAATTTCTGTTGTCTGTGCTCACCAAGGTAAGGAAGGTTCCCAGGCCACTAGCAAGACAAGCAGAGAACTCCATGCTTCCACTTGCCATGCTTTTACTCAAAGAAAGTTTCTGTCAAGGGTTTGCAGCATGCACACTTCTATATAAAACTTCTTAATATAGTGAGTATTCATGTTCTCCAATGAAGGAATCTGGAAAGCTTCCTTCTGACATATGATTGGACACTTTAATAAATGCCAACATAGACTTCATGCCTTTACTGACTTTGGATAGTCTATGTATTCTATTCTTTACAATATTAAATAGAAAAAAATAAGAGGTTAGTTAGCTTGTTGAATGAAGACACAAAAGATAGTCACAGTAACTAGAAAACTAACAAGAAGACATCATTTCAGATATTTCAGACTGATCTAGGGAGTGTTAAAAAGGAAAAGATATTGACAAGTGGACCTGTTACCACAAGTTGGTAATCGGCTACTCCAGAGGCTAATGAGCAAGAATCGCAAGTGCCAAGACAGCCCGGGCTCCAGAGTATGCTGAAGGCCAACCGTGAAATTCTATCCCCAAATCAAAAATTAAAAGTGGGGTGGGAACGTGATTCAGCCGTAAACCATTTACCTGGCATACACAGGTCTTGAGATTAATCCCCAGTGAAAAGTACATATTAGAATTCAAGTCAATAGTTGATTTTTTTCCTCGTTGGCTTTTTAAATTAGAAACATCTTAATCCTTACTTAAAATGCTTAGCTCATGAAGGATGTACCTTACAAAACCCCTTGAATTTGCTATTCTAAATGCTTGGGATGCTGCATCTTCATAACTGGCTGAAAAATTCTTACTGTCTGACAAGGTTTCAAAGTCCTTTGGTAATCTAAATTTTCTATGGCACCAGCTTCTATTGCCAGTAGAATGTTCCAGGTTCTCTGCTCATTTCTTTCAGCTCAGCATCTACTATCCCATAATTGGCAGGTAAGAAAGTCACCCACTCTATGCCGCATTCTTCCCATCACATTCAGAGCTTTGAAAACCAAAGGCTGACACTCAAGCAATTAATTTGCAAGTAATAGAAATCGGGTTCTTCTGTACTTACTACTCTGAAAGACAGAAACAAAGTGCAGGACATCTTGCTTCTGCTCCACTTCCAGGCAAGCTAAGTCAGAAAAGTTGAGTGTGCAGAAATCCCTGGATAAATTACCTCAGTGTCCATGTGTAGCAGCCAGCTTCATCTCTAATCGGAGCTCTAGCAGCAGCGGTTGGAGGATCTGGCATTTGCTTTGATGCTGAAGGAGTCTAGTTTGATAGAACCTGTTTCCTAATGACTCCTAGGTCACCACCGAGCTTATGTTCTTGAACTTAGTGATGCCACTGCTGTCCCCTGAACCCACTGCTCTGTGCATCCTAAATCCTTCCTGCACAGGATTCTTCATTTTGTGTTTCATCGACCTGGACCTGACAGTTAACAGCTAGTTGGACTGTCTCAGTATGCGCATGGTTCTTTATGAAAGAGACACCAATACCAAATGATCAGCCTCAAAAACAGACATATCATGATTTGAACAGAACAAATTGTACACACACACACACACATTCACACACACTTTGGTATGAAAGAGGACAAAGTGGTCATGGTGGGGTACATGGGAGATGTTAGAAGGACAGAAGAGAAAGAGAAATGGTGTAATTACATAATTCTCAAAAACTAAAAAGAATGAAAGTTAGAAAGGAACTCAGCACAGTAGTGTAGGAACAAAGAGAAGCTTCCTCCTCCCTGTCCCTTTTATTCTTCTTAGTCTTTTTGTACTATAATTTATTTAACTCAGTTGCAAAACATTGTGATTTCAACACGTAGTAACTACATGTGTTTGGATACCCCATGTTTTCATACCAAGTTCCTTTCTATACAGTGGTGTATTTTTGTATTTATATCATGTCTCAGTTGATACTAGCACATGGCAAATGCTTAGCAACATGTTTGCGATCTGTGTTTCTGAAGTGGACACCATGCTCTTCATCAGAACTGACAACATCAGCAGGCACTCAGGTTCCTTTGGGAAACAGATTCATGATAAGTGAATTTGCTCTGAAGGCACCTGTAGCTTCTTCCTGATTCTCAAAGCCTTCGCCTGCCACCTGCAGGGACTGTGGCTCTCACTCACATCCCTGGCAACAATGATTAGCTTCTCTGCAGTAGATGTCCTTGTAGGACCCAGTTCCCGAGGACTCCTGAGGGCCAAGTTCCTGCCCGGGGCACCTTGCCTACCTAGGTTGAGCTGGGGCAGGAACCCTGGCACCCTGGTTCCTCCCTTTAGCTCGCTGGTCAGATCAGCATCAGGCCCTCTACCCACCGCAGGGGATGTGCAAACACGAATAAAGAAGAATCTTACAGAGGAAAGGGCGGTTCTCCTCAGCTGCAGCCTGGCTGCAACTCTCAATCTTCTGACAGGAAGTAGGCTGCTCGGGGACCAGAGTGCTGCGTCGCCTATAGCGATAGCGTCACCCCCCCCCCCCCAGGCCAATGTGAGTTGGGTAAACAACTCGGCCTGCTATATTTTCGCGCGCTTTTCTGATTCGCTGTGGCAGACATCTTCACAGTCCCAGACCGAAGCACAGACCAGTAACCGTGCTGCTTGGAGAGAAAACTTTCTTAGGTGAGCTACTCTTAGTTTGGGGGCTGACTTGGAGGATTTATTTGCGGTGGAATAATGCAGAAAAGCCTCATTCAGATGGGCGTCAGGGAGACAGAGAAGTGCACCTCGATTCCAGAAGAGAACAGGCCCCACTTGTGCACTGTCTGCAGCTCTTGGCGGCGGGTAAAAGAACTGCAGGGCCCAAGGGAGAGCGCACTGTGGTGTAAAACCTGGCCTCCTTAAACCTGGTGGCTCACTTTTAGAAACCTAAAATAAATTTCTCAGGATCTAAATGTGTGCGTAGTAAATATTCACAAATATATTTTTATGAGCGGGCCTCTTTCTAGAGCAAGGATACAAGACGTAAGCGACAGAAGCTGATCTCGTTCCTAAGCATGGTCCGTTTATAGAGTGAAGCCGTCGGTTCTTGCAGTGCAGTCTACTCCAATCACCCGACTTATTCTCCTGCTCTTTAAATCGTCATGAATGCTGAGGACTGTTCTGCCAGGGGACTACAAAGTTGATAACGTAATTGTTATTAATTCTACTACCAGTCACTCTTCATAGACGACATCATAAAACAATTTGCATCACAAGTTTTTAATCCTGACCTCTAAATCCTAGGTTTGATATAGCCACCAATCCGGATCTATTACCCAGTCCTAACCAATCCCTCATTAAAGCCTGAGTTAAACAAGATCTCAAAGTCCCACAGTGCTACACACTTTCTCAGCCTAAGCATGTTCTTCTCTCTCAGTACTGCTACCACTGTGTGAAGTGATTGCTCTCATTACCCCAAGAGCAGTAATCCGAGGTTTGTTTTATCACCAGGATTCTGGGAGTCCAACCTCGAGGACCTAGGAAGTCAACATCCACAGTACCTGTGTGCGCTATAGAGAGAGACGTCACTTCAAACTTTGTGGCCACTCTCAGTCCCAGAGGTAAGAAAGCAGAAGTTGTATTAGTAATTTTGCTTCTGCTGTGGTTTGTGGATATTTTTGTTTCTACTGATAAAGATAACATTTAAGGAACCTTTGCAATTATATAACCTACCTGTAAGCAGAAACATTGTAGCTTGTGTTTGTCCTTTTTATTTTTGTTTGTTTGGTTTTGTCCTTGAGTAAAACAAGTCCACAGAGAGCAGACCTGGGGTCTTGGGAATCTGATACTCAGGCTGGCTGTGTGTGGTGTAAAGCTGACCATAGAGTGGGATGCTCCCTTCTGAGAGCATCTCTCCCAGAGAGCCTAGGACATCATTCTTCCTGAATAATTGAGGAGTGCTGGAGTGGGTAAGGGTAAGTGTGTTAAGAAAGGCCTTCCAGGTTGGCAAGGGAAAGAAAATAGCCAAAGTTTTATTTAAATTGTTCTTTATTTTTGAGAGGTCACAGCAAAGGAAAATACTTGGGGGTAAAACCCATTTAAAGCAAATGGCACATGTCATTAACTCCAGCACTGGAGGATAGAGGCAGGTGGATTTCTAAGTTCAAGATCATCCTGTCTATAGAGTGAGTTCCAGAACAGCCAAGGCTACATAGAGAAACCCTGTCTCTGAATTAGCAAACAAACAAAAAAGAAAAAGAAAGCAGTACACTTTCTAAATATCATTTTGCTTGCATCTTTTCAGAGTTTTTATAACTCTTGCTAAATTTTGTTTATGTTCAGGGTACTATCCAATTTTCCCTTTCTAGATTTCCCTAGAATCTGTTATCACTTTCCATCTCTATCTTCAGTGAAGATCAGACTTCCTTACATAATTATTACCTTTTTAGACTATAATATAAATACATCATTTCTCCTTCTTTTCTTCCTTTTAATCCTCTCCTCTCCTCTCTCTCTCTCTCTCTCTCTCTCTCTCTCTCTCTCTCTCTCTCACACACACACACACACACACACACACACACACACACACTTCAGGTTGCTCTCATTTCAAATTCTTGGAATACTGAGAACGGGAGAAAGTCTTTCCCATGAAAGAACACACCAGCTGGTTATCTGAAAGCAAATGGTCAGTCCTGAAAACATACACACAACTAACAATAAATGCTCATACATTCAAAGGTTAGATTTAGCATCTCCGTTAGTAGAACATACTATTTATTTTCCCAACTGGAAATTTCTTTGTGGGTTATTGTTACCAACATTAATGTCCTCTCTGTTTCAGGATGTGACCTTGGGCACTTCACTTTTTTTTTTCAAGATACTCTGTCTGAACAAACAAACAAAACCATCCAAATGGATCTTGTTTTCCATGGTAGTTCTGTTGGTCAGCCATTAGAGACAATTTCTGTTAAGATTTTGATATTTTCTTATAATGCCTGATATATAGTGATTTGTTTTTACTACTTGGCTCATTATGCTTGGTGGATAAACTATCTGCTTGCTAACACCATCCTGGGGCATGAAACCTGAAGAGGAAAGATATGATTTGGGACTTTGATCATTTTATTTCCTGAGTATGCTGTGGAGACACTACTGTAATATGAATGTTTTTGAAATTTCTGTTCCAGTTGAAGCATCTGTTTCATTTCTAAGCCACCATGAGCTACAGCAAGCAAGGGTCACAGAAGGTCCTTCCCGATTTAAGGAACAACATGACAATCAAGTACCATTTGCCTCAGGTATGTGTGCAAACATTTGTGGATTTGTGGGATGTCTTCAGAGTAGACTATAGTACCCTAGATCCTAGGCCACATAATCTTCCTGCTAAGACAAAGACTCATTAGCATTAGAAGTATTGCATACATTAAATTGTATGTGGTTGCAGAAGCTGGAAGATGGCATCTAATCCCCTAGAGCTAGATTTACAGACAGTTGTGAGCTGCTATGTGGGTGTTGGCGACCAAACCTGGGTCCTCTAAAAGAACAGTGCGAGCTCTGAACCATGAACTGTCTCTTCAAATCCTTGAAACAAACATTTTTGCAAAGTCATATACAATGTGTTAGATTAAACTGTATAAATAACAAAACTAATAATACTTAAGAACATGAAACTCTTACTCTTAGTGTGACTAATCTTCTGAATCCTAGCAACCTACATTTACATAGTGCTTTGAAGTTTATAAACATGATTTTCCATACATCTGTTCTTACTCTAGCTTTATTAAGTGGGTGAAGGGGATTCCACCTCCAATTTGTGTATGTCAAGAAAGGAAAGAAGGGGTTGCCTGAGGCCAAGTGGAGACATGGACAAGGTTGCTTCCCTGAAGTCAGAGCCCTTCCTGCTCTGTGGGTTCTGCTGACATGGCAGATTTTATGTCTCTTCTGAGTTGAGAACACTTCTTGAATTGAAAATAAAAGGCTGAGAAGGCCAGTCCTTCAGACTGTTTCCTTTTGTTCAAGTTCTAGAAAGGTTGATGATTCAGAAAATGAGGCTTTTGTTTCTAGGTCTGTTTTTTCTCTATCCTACTCCATGGCACAGCAAGTTAGGAACCACACATAGTTCCTATGTCTTTCCCTTTCAAAAATGTCAGACGGGCAAAGTGCCTCACACCTGTAATCCCAGCACTCTGGAAGCAGAGGAGGAGGATTGCAAATTCCAGGCCAGCCTGGGTTACAGTGTCTCAAGTGTACAACATGGACTCAAAAAATTGACAAAGTGTCTACATTTGTCCAAGAAGCCTGTGTAGAAGAAAGTCTGCTACAGCATCTCCACGAGATAGTGCACAGATAATTCTGAGAGCATTTAGACTGAGGAACTGGTTTCTGAGATTTTCTATGCATGCCTACAGGACCATTCTTTTATATGTTTAAAGCAGAATGACAGTGTGACAGATGACAAGAGGCTTAATCTTTACTATACTCCACTACTGTTCCTTCTGTTACCAGTGATTGTACTGCTGGCAAGTGAACCCTTGCCAAGATAAATGTGATGTAGGACCACGGGAGTAAAAGGCTTTTATTTTGTTCACTTTTGCTATCATTTGATTAATAATTTGATTATTAACCTTGGTTCTTTCTTCCTTCTTCTTCCTTGAATCTTAAGATAGTGGCCTATAAGAATAGGAGGTATGGATGCAAAGTTTGCAAATATCATGAGTAGTCTAATGGGAAGAGACATTAGAGTATTTACAATTTAGATCGGTCATTATGTGACATTAGGAAATGCACTTAGAAGATAAATTTCTGATCCTCAATTTCTTTATAAAAAAGAGAGGCCATGCATAGGATTTGTAAATTTATGTAAGAAAGGAAATACATTGAGTTTTCTTGCACAGTGGTAGTGGTGGTGAATCAATGTATTAATTTTTCAGGAGTAAGTTAGCTTAAGGAAGGATCAAGTTGTTTAGCTTTCATTACTGCAGAATAAATAATCCATTAAATAACACCTGGAGAGATGGCTCAGTATGTAAAGCCTTGGCAATAGAAGTGTGTAGGACAGAGTTAGAATCCCCAGGTTCCATATAAATATTGTATGGTAATGATAGCCCAGCCGTAAATCCAGCATATGAGAAGAAGGGTAGGGGAGCCCTGGAGCATGTTGGCTAGCTAGATTGGCTTAATCAGAAAATTACTCAGACTCAATACATAAAGAGTAGAATTATCAAAGAAGACACCCAACTTTAGCCTCTTATCTCCACATACTGTGGAAACATGTGTCCACACATATAGGACTACCCACAAATACACACACCCAAACTCCACAAATAGATGCATGCACAAAGAAAATAAAATAGAAAATAACAAATAGATTATACTAACATATCCCTGCTAAGTTGCTTTAATGAATTCATTAAAGGTGAGCATGGCAGGGCATTCCTAGATTCCAAGCACAGAGAGAAGGAGGAATAAAAATAATGAGTTTGAAGCCAGCCTGGACTAGATATTTTATTCCAGAGTGGGCTCAACTGCAGAGTGAAATCTGTCTCAGAGAAACTGCAACAGGTGGCTCAAAAGATGGCTTGTTTTTTAAATGAATGGACCGCTCTTAAGGAAACTAGAACTCATTGACCAACCCTGACATCCTGAGGCTAGGACTGGTTGGAACTCTAGCTCCATGGGATATGATGCCCTCTTCTGGTCTCTGCAGGCACGGCATTAACATGCACAAGCCCTCGTAAAGACATATACTTAAAAATACAAATAAAATGTCTTTTAAAAACAACAAAAATGAACAAATTCAAATTTAGATACCATCATTTTCTATGTTTGGCAAAGATAAAAACTGCATTGCTGAAAATAAAATGAAATAAAATACTTGGAAAAATTTTCTGGAAACTGATAGACAGTTAAACGTCTGGGAAACAACTGTGATTTTTACTGCCCATTGTTTGGGAAAGAAGCCATGAGCAATAGGAAGAGATCATCTGAAAGGTAAGTTAGAGCAGCTGGGCTTGCATTTTGGATCTTGAGTTAAATTCTGATTTAAACATATTCATTGAACCTTTGAATTGCCTATTAATGAGGTAAACCAAAACTTAGAGTTGGAATCCAATTTTTAAAGTATCTGTCATTTTTTCCTAGGTTCTTCAAGATAAGCAGAAGGATCCCAAGATTTTGCAAATGCAAATGGGATCTCGAAAAGCATCAAATGAGACATCTAACAGCCAAGAGCAAAGACTCTATTCTTCTAAGAAAACTCGACAAGATGAGAATGTTCTCCCAGATAAAACAATCAAGATCACCTTGGGGGAAAATTCCAAAAAATATTTCTGCATTTCCATCCATAGAGAGACAGGTAGCTTATATGAGGCCCTGAACTCCCATGCCCTTGTCAAAAGAGAGATAGAAAAACAGCCAGGCAAAGAAATGTTGGTGTGTGGCAAAGAAGGAATAGAAGGGTACATAAACTTTAGTATGCCCCTCTATTGTTTTCCACAAGGCAGCCATGTAGACATTACATTTTCCAAAACTGAAAGTGAGGAGAAAAAAAATAATGAAGTGTGTGGCCGCTTTGACCAGCCATCTGCTGAGTGTGTTGTATTTTACATTCATGCAGTAGGGAATAGGGAGCACAGGATTCTGAGGTGCAGGGAACTTCACAAGGAAGGTACCAAACTCTGTGTCTATGGTTTCAAGGGAGAGACCATCAAGAACACTCTGAGGAAGGATGGCAGGTTTTGCTCCTTTGTAGAGAGTGACCATTGGACACTCATTAACAATGACACCATCATAGCGATCAGCCAGCCAGTTGATGTGTTGGAGGGCAAGCTCTTTCAGATTGATGTTGAGACAAAGAAGAGCCCTTGGGAAGCAGCGAGAACTCAGAAATCTGAGTTAGAGGACAGACACATCAGTGAGTTGAAAGGATACATTGTGAATTTGTACCCCACACTGACAGGAGAACGTGAGAAAGTGAGAGCGTATATCAAGAAGAAAACTGAGAATAGTAAAGCAGAGTCTCTTCTCGAAGCCTATAAGAGGAGGTTCAGTGAAGTGGTGAAAAGCTCTATTCCAGACGGAATGGTCAAACTTATTTCACACTTCATGGATTCCACTGGACTCATAGTTTGGGACAATAATGGAAACAGGGGTAGAGCCACTTGCTTTGTTTTCAGAGGGTTGTACATTTTCACTTGTCGACATGTATTAAATGATATTGTGGGAGAAGGAAGAGAGCCAAGTCAGTGTCTAGACCTAATGAGCCAATGCGTAAGGGTAACATTTGATGACGAATGCTGTGAAGAGCCAACCTCAAACTTTAACAGTTGCTTTCGCATTGAACCTTGGCTTCTCATATCTGATGACACTCTTGACTATGCTGTCCTGCAACTGAAGGATAATGGTCAAGAAGTACCTGCTGGACTGTATAATAACGGAATAGCTGTTGTCCTTCCCAGTGAGTTGATATATATGATTGGCCATGAAAATGGAAACAAGGTTTTTGATCGTTGTGCAGTGCTCACTCAAGGTAAACTAAAAGAGAAGAGTCAGCAATTTGTTCATGGAAAAGAAGCAACAGGTCATAGCCATTCTTCTCAGTTCCTCCATATGTGTACAAAAAGAAGTTTCCAAGAAATGAATGTCAACCCTAATGACTTTACCTATAATATTCTTTATAATGGCTCTTCTGGATCTCCACTATTTGATTGTAAAGGTTCTCTAGTAGCCATGCATACTGTTGGCTTCATTTGTGAGCATGAAAGCGGAGTTTATAATGTTATTGAGGTTGGCATAAAGATGGAATCCATTCTTGCTGATATTAAGCAAAAACATAAAATATGGTACGATGATGTTTGTGTAAATCAGCAGGATGTAGAAATGTGCAGTGAAGCCTATACAAATGTATTTGAACAGGATGTAGAAATGTGAAGAGTTTTGAAGGTGGGAGAGTATTTGTTCCCGTTTTCTCTCTCTTTTTTTTTTTAAGAAAGTAATTTTATTAAATTATAAAAGTTTCCATTTCCGCTTCTTTTCCAACACCCTCCCACTCCCCCCCCCTCCTCCCTCTCCACCCCCAAGAGCAGTCAGGGTTTCCTGCCCTGTGGGAAGTTCAAGTTCCTCCCCCCTCCCTCCATGTCCAGGAAGGTGAGTATCCAAACAGACTGGATCCCCAAAATCCAGTATATGCAGAGGAAACAAGTCCCAGTGTCATTGTCAATGGCTTTTCAGAAAGACCCCGGGCCAGCCACATTCAGAGAATCCGGCCACATTCAGAGAATCTGGTTGGATCACGTCCTCGCTCAATCCCAGTCCAACTGGCCTTGGTGAACGCTCATTAGATCAGTCCCCTTGTATCAGTGGGCGATCGCATCCCTCACAGTCCTGATTTACTTTTTCATTTTCTTCCTCCTTCTGCTCCTCATTTGGACCTTGGGGGGCTCAGTCCGGTGCTCCAATGTGGGTCTCCATCTGTATCGCCATTCATCGTCGGATGAAGGTTCCCTCTGGCCCTGCCCTCTCCACTCACGTTCTCTTTCCCTCTGCCTCTCGTCCGGACCTGGGGAGTTAAGTCCAGTGTTCCAATGTGGGTCTCTGTCTCCATCTCCATCCATCGCCAGATGAAGGATCTATGGTGATAAGCAAAATATTCATCAGTATGGTTATGGGCCAAGGCCGGGTCAGGCACCCTCTCCTCTGTCCAGAGAACAATCTGGGGGATCTCTCCTTGGACCTGGGATCCCATATATAATCAAGTCTCCTGTAAACCCTAAAATGACTTCCTTAGTTGAAATATATTCTTCCCTGGTCCCATATTCATCCTTCCTCCCTCCCCCCCATCCCGGTCCACTGAGCTTTCGCCATTCCTCCCCTACTCCCTTCTCTCTAACCCTCTCCCCTTCCAACAACCCTCCCACCCCACACCATGCACCCGAGGTTACCTGGGACTCTTGTCTATTTCCTATCTCCTGACGGATAGCTAAATAATCTTCATCAGGTTCATCTTCTTATTTAGCTTCTCTAGGATCACGAATAATAGGCTCAAAGACCTTTAATTAGGGTTAATCCACTTATGAGTAAATACATACCGTGTTCCTCTTTTTGGGTCTGGCTTACCTCACTAAGTAAGGCGTTTTCTAATTCCATCCATTTGCATTCAAAATTCAAGATGTCATTGTTTTTTACTACTGAGTAAAACTCTAATGTGTATATGTTCCACACCTTTTTTAACCATTCTTCTATTGAGGGGCACCTAGGTTGTTTCCAGGTTCTGGCTATTACAAATAGTGCTGCTATGAACATAGTTGAACAAATGCTTTTGTAGTATGTTAGGGAATCTCTAGGGTATATTCCCAAGAGTGGAAATGCTGGGTCCTGAGGGAGGTTGACTCCCAGTTTCCTGAAAAACCGCCACACTGATTTCCACAGTGGCTGCACAAGTTTGCATTCCCACCAACAATGGATGGGTGTTCCCCTCATTCCACATCCTCTCCAGCATAGGCTATCATTGGTGTTTTTGAGTTTGGCTATTCTGTCGCGTGTAAGATGATATCTCAAAGTTGTTTTGATTTGCATTTCCCTGATCGCTAAGGAGGTTGAGCATGACCTTAAGTGCCTTTTGACTATTCAAAGTTCATCTGTTGTGAATCTCTGTTCAGTTCAGTACCCCATTTTTTAATTGGGTTAATTAGAGTTTTAGTGTCTAGTTTCTTGAGTTCTTTGTATATTTTGGAGATCAGACCTTTGTCTGATGAGGGGTTTGTAAAGATCTTCTGCCAGTCCAAAGGTAGCCTTTTTGTCTTACTGACAGTGTCCTTTGCTTTACAGAAGCTTCTCAGTTTCAGTAGGTCCCATTTATTCATTGTTTCTCTTATTGTCTGCACTCCTGGGGTTCTGCTTAGGAAGTGGTCTCCTGTGCCTATATCTTGTAGACTACTTCCCACTTTCTCTTCTATCAGGTTCAAAGTGGTCGGATTAATCTTGATGTCTTTAATCCATTTGGACCTGAGTTTTGTGCATGGTGATAGATATGGATCTATTTTCATTCTTCTACAGGTTGACATCCAGTTATGCCAGCACCATTTGTTAAAGATGCTATCCTTCTTCCATTGTATAGCTTTAGCTCCCTTGTCAAAAATCAGGTGTTCATAAGTTTGTGGGTTAATACCCGGGTCTTCTATTCGATTCCATAGGTTGACTTCTCTGTTCTTATGCCAATACCAAGCTGTTTTCAACACTGTTGCTCTGTAATAGAGTTTGAAGTCAGGGATGGTAATGCCTCCAGAAGTTCCTTTATTGGATAAGATTGTTTTGGCTATTCTGGGTTTTTTGTTTTGCCATATAAACTTGATTATTGTTCTCTCAAGGTCTGTGAAGAAGTTTGGTGGGATTTTGATGGGAATTGCATTGAATCTATAGATTGCTTTTGGTAGAATTGCCATTTTTACTATGTTGATTCTCCCAATCCAAGAGCAGGGGAGGTCTTTCCATTTTCTGGTATCCTCCTCAATTTCTTTCATCAAGGACTTAAAGTTCTTGTCAAATAGGTCTTTCACTTCCTTGGTTAGAGTTACCCCCAAGATATTTTATGCTATTTGTGGCTATCATGAAAGGTGATGTTTCTCTGATTTCCTTCTCTGCTTCTTTGTCCTTTGTGTATAGGAGGGCAACCGATTTTTTGGAGTTGATCTTGTATCCTGCCACATTACTAAAGGTGTTTATCAACTGTAGGAGTTCTTTGGTAGAGTTTTTGGGGTCGCTTATGTACACTATCATATCGTCAGCAAATAACGAAAGTTTAACTTCATCCTTTCCAATTCGAATCCCCTTGATCCCCTTATGTTGTTTTATTGCTATTGCTAGAACTTCAAGCACTATATTGAAGAGGTATGGAGAGAGTGGACAGCCTTGTCGTGTTCCTGATTTTAGTGGAATGGCTTTGAGTTTCTCTCCGTTCAATTTGATGTTAGTTGTCGGCTTGCTATATATTGCTTTTATTATATTCAGGTATGATCCTCGTTAACCCAGTCTCTCCAACACCCTTATCATAATGGGGTGTTGAATTTTGTCAAATGCTTTTTCAGCATCCAATGAAATGATCATATGGTTTTTTTCTTTCAGTTTATTTATATGATGGATTACATTGATAGATTTGAGTATGTTGAAACAACCCTGCATCTCCGGGATGAAGCCCACTTGATCATAATGGATGATTTTTCTAATGTATTCTTGGATTCGGTTTGCCAGTATTTTATTGAGTATTTTTGTGTCAATGTTCATGAGTGAGATTGGTCTGTAATTCTCTTTCTTGGTTGTGTCTTTGTGTGGTTTTGGTATCAGAGTAACTGTAGCTTCATAAAAAGAGTTTGGCAATGATTCTTCTGTTTCTATATTGCGGAATACGTTAAGGAGTATAGGTATTAGCTCTTTCTGGAAGTTCTGGTAGAATTCTGCATTGAAACCATCAGGTCCTGGACTTTTTTTGGTAGGAAGATTTTTGATAACAGCTTCTAATTCTTTGCAACTAACAGGTCTATTTAGATTGTTCACCTGTTCTTGGTTCAACTTTGGTATATGGTACTTATCTAAAAAAATGTCCATTTCTTTTACATTTTCCAACTTTGTAGCATATAAATTTTCGTAGTAAGATCTAATGATTCTCTGAATTTCCTCTGTGTCTGTGGTTATGTCCCCCTTTTCATTTCTGATCTTATTAATTTGCATGTTCTCTCTCTGCCGTTTGATTAATTTGGATAGGGGTTTTTCGATCTTGTTGATTTTCTCCAAGAACCAGCTTTTTGATTCATTGATTCTTTGGATTGTTTTCTGTGTTTCTATTTTGTTGATTTCAGCCCTCAGTTTGATTATTTCCAGTCTTTTAGACCTCCTGGGTGTATCAGCTTCTTTATTTTTCTAGAGCTTTCAAGTGTGCTGTTAAGTCTCCAATGTGTGCTTTCTCCGTTTTCTTTAATTGGGCACTTAGTGCTATGAACTTTCCTCCTAGCACTGCTTTCATAGTGCCCCATAGGTTTGAGTATGTTGTGTCTTTATTTTCATTAAATTCAAGGAAGACTTTAATTTCTTTCTTTATTTCTTCCTTGACCCAGGGGTGATTCAGTAGTTGACTGTTCAACTTCCATGAATTTGTTGGCTTCCTGGGGGTAGCACTGCTGTTGAATTCTAACTTTAATCCATGGTGGTCTGACAAGACACAGGTGGTTACTAATATTTTTTTGTATCTGTGGAAGTTTCCTTTGTTACCCAGTATGTGGTCAATTTTCGAGAAGGTTCCATGAACTGCAGAGAAGAAGGTATATTCTTTCCTATTTGGGTGGAATGTTCTATAGATATCTGTTAAGTCCATTTGATTCAATACCTCCAATAATTCTCTTATTTCTCTGCTAGGTTTCTGTCTGATTGACCTGTCCATTGGTGAGAGAGGAGTGTTGAAGTCTCCTACTATTAGTGTCTGTGGATTGATGACTGCCTTGAGTTCTAGAAGAGTTTCTTTTACATAAGTAGGAGGCTTTATATTAGGAGCATAGATATTCAGAATTGAGACTTCCTCCTGATGAATTGTTCCTGTTATGAGTATAAAATGTCCGTCTCCATCTCTTCTGATTGATTTTAGTTTGAAGTCAATTTTGTTGGAAATTAGAATGGCTACACCTGCTTGTTTCTTAGGTCCGTTTGCCTAAAAAACCTTTTCCCAACCCTTTACTCTGAGTAGATGTCTGTCTTTGTGGTTGAGGTGTGTTTCTTGTAAACAGCAGAATGTTGGATCCTGTTTTCGTATCCAATCTCTTAGTCTGTGCCTTTTTATAGGTGAATTGAGTCCATTAATATTAAGTGATATTAATGACCAGTGGTTGTTGACTCCGGTTATTATTATTTTTTGTTTGTTTGTTTAATAGAGTTTGTATGTGTCCCTTCTTTGAGTTAAGCTCGTTAAGGGTCGCTAGATGTCTGAGTTATTGTAGGCAGTGTTGGCAATGTTGGATTCCTTGGGTTGTGATTTTCCTTCTATTACCTTCTGTAAGGCTGGGTTTGTGGCTACGAATTGTTTAAATTTGTTCTTATCATGGAATATTTTGTTTTCTCCATTGATAGTGAATGATAGCTTGGCTGGGTATAGTAGTCTGGGTTTGCATCCATGGTCTCTTAGTTTCTGCAGTACCTCTATCCAGGACCTTCTGGCTTTCATGGTTTCCATAGAGAAGTCTGGTGTGTCCGATAGGTTTACCTTTATGAGTTACTTGACCTTTTTCCTTTGCAGCTCTTAATATTCTTTCTTTAATCTGTATGTTTTGTGTTTTGATTATTATATGGTGAGGGGATTTTTTTTTTGATCAAGTCTATTCGGTGTTCTGTATGCTTCTTGAACCTTCATAGGGATATCATTCTTTAGGTTGGGAAAGTTTTCTTCTAAAATTTTGTTGAATATATTTTCTGGGCCTTTGATCTTCAGTTCTTCTCCTTCTTCAATCCCTATTATTCTTAGATTTGGGTTTTTTATTGTGTCCCAGATTTCTTGAATATTTTGTGATGAGAATTTGTTGGATTTGCTGTTTTCTTTGATCTGAGCATTTATTTTCTCTATGGTATCTTCAGACTCTGAGATTCGTTCTTCCATCTCTTGTATCCTATTGGTTATGCTTGATTCTGTAGTCTCTGTTCATTTACCTAGATTTTCCATATCCAGCCAGCCCTCGTTTTGTGTTTTCTTCATTGCCTCCATTTCAGTTTTCAATTCTTGAACTGTTTCCATTACCTGTTTGATTGTTTTTTCTTGGTTTCCCAGTGTATTATTCACTGATTTTCTCATTTCTTCAAACTTTTTGTTATACTTCTCATCCATTTCTTTACTCATTTCTTCATTCCTTTTGTTGTACTTTTCATCCAGTTATTTAAGGGAATTATTCATATCCTGTTTAAGGGACTCTATTGCTTTCATAATGGCATTTTTTTTCCAATTCTTCTGAATTGAGAGGTTCAAGTCCTTTTATTGTAGGGTCGTTGGGATCTGGTGATTTCATGTTGTTTTTTAGATTGTTGGAGGAGTTCTTGCCTTGGCGTCTGCCCATCTCTTCCTTCAACTGCTCTATATTTGATCTTCTGGTACCAGGTCAGGTTCCCTTGTTGGGCAGGGACTTCACCGACAGAAGGTCTACCTTTCCTCAGGCACTTTCCTCAGTCTATTGAAACACAGGCACTCCCTCCTGCCGGGTTGCACTCACAGCCCTGGCCCAGCGCGCAAGGGAGCTGCTCTGGGGAGATCTTGTGGCCCCAGGGGGAAGGGGGGAAGAGAGGAAGGTGTACCTGGATGAAGGCTGGGATGGGATTCGGGAGAGCTCCGCAGGGTGGAGCCACCACTGCAGGGCGACCAGAAAATCGAGGGGGGCGGGGAAAGTCTGAATTCCTCCTAGCCAAGCCCTCGGGACAGGAGCAAACTCACCTCTCCTCCAATGGATGTCTGCTAGAAGATCACTGTCTCTTGCTGCCCAGGAATGTGGCTGAGCTGATTCAGGGCCTGCCTGTCAGGCAGGCTCTCAAAGTACAGGAATTGCCCCTGCCCGGCTGAGCCCACAGCCCAGGCTCAGAGTGCAAGGGAGCAGCTCTGGGGAGATCTTGTGGCCCCAGGGGGAAGGGAGAAAGAGCCCGTTTTCTCTCTTTAAGAGAATTGGGTTTTTAAAGGCAGTACTATGTTTTTCTGACCTTCAAAGCGTTCATTTTAACGTGAAAAGATGGCTGGAAATGTGGCTCACTGGTTGAACACTTGCCTAGCATGCATGAGGTTCTAAGATTAGTCCCCAGTGAAAAATGAATATGATAGCACTCAAATCAATTTCCAAAACTGTTGTTCTCCCTGGATTTTTAAGACGTTGAAGCCATCTTTAGTCTCACTTAATGGTTCATACACCTTTTACCGAAACTTTGGCATTTTCTATTCTAAATCAGTAGGATTCTCTCTCTTCATAACTGGCAGTGATGCATGATTGCTAAGAAGTTTTCAAAATCTTTGGCAATCAGAATTTCTTTCCTTTCCACCTATGGCATGCAAGATGAATGAAACGCTTGGCAGAAGGAGAATGTTCCAGGGCGTCTGCACTTTGCTCTGGCTCAGTGGTCACTTACCCTCCTCAGGCAGCTGTGAGGAAGGTCTGAAACACCAATAGCTGAATCTCAGGGCAACAAGTCCTGACTACTTGTTAAGCCTTGATGCAGGGAGAAGCTAGGTCCTGCCTCAACTTGATATGCCAGGCTTTGCTGATTCCCAAGGGAGACCTCACCCTATCTGGATGGAGAATGAGGAGAGGATGGGGGGAGGGGGTAAGAAGAATGATGGGGGAGGGAGGTGGGGTAAGAAGGGAAGATGGGAGGAGGGAGGGTAACATACTGTTGGTATGTTAAATAAATTTAAAAAAATGATGAAAAAAATACATTTGTCCACACAAGTTCATGTACTTACATCTGGCACATGCAGAGGTTGGCCCATAGGAAGCCAGGAACCCCACAGGTTTCCTCCATACTCTCAGGGTCTGCTTGCCTCCCCTCCACAAGCTGCAGAACCTGGTGTCTCACATTTTCTCCAAGCGTTTAGTATTTCCTTTGAGCAAGTGTACAGCGCACCCTGCAAGAACTGTCACAGGATCCCTCCTCCAGAGTGCTGGCTCCTCCTTTGGGACTTCTCAAGCTCTGCCCTGTGCAATCTGCCCCTGGCCTCAAGCTCTACTGTGGAGCAATTGAGAGCTTTCTAAATGAGGAAACCTAGCCAGTTTAGTCCTGCATCTTTTCAGGGGTGAAATCCTCCGTGTGATTCAGGGTCCTGCTATGGGTCACCAGAGTAACTTCAGTGGACAAGAGAAGGAGCACTCACGACCCAGGGAGGTTCCACGTGTGGGGTGTTGGTCTAAGAAATACCAAATCGAAGGGTGTTAAACGGATTTGACTGGCACAAGTCACACTCCTGTCTGTTTTCCAAAGCAAGTTTTGACAACAAGTTCTGCTCTACATAAGAGACGTGAAATCAAAGGTGTCCCTGCCCCCTTCCTGGTTTATTGTACAGCCTGATTCAGGGTTGTTTCATTTTGCTTTGTTTGCTCATGTTACACCCAGAGAAGAGTATAAAGACCTGCGGCCTGGTGAGCAAACAGAACAGCCTCCATTTGAAAGACTCTTCCTTTTAGGTGAATTTCCTCCCTCAGTTCTGGGGAGGATGTGAAGTCTGGGTAGGATTCGTTGACTGTAGAGTGAAGCACAAAATCCAGAAAAGGTTCCTTAGCACTTAGCTCACCCTTGCCTTGGTGAGCTGTGGTTCATGGAGGGGAATGAGCGTTCATTTGCCTACTGCCTGCAGTTCTTGCAGGAAGAGGTCAAAGAACAGAGCTAAAGTGAACCTAAGTTATCCTTCAACAGTATGCAAGAGAAACGCACTGCAATGTAAAAACCAAAACAACACCCCCTCCAGAAACAAGCAGCAAAGCAAACAAAAACACTGGTTTTTGTAAAATCATGGCTCAACTTATGGAAATACCTCCTCAGAGGCAAAAGTGTTTTCTTGGCTGTGCTTCTTTTGAGAATAAAGATAAATCGAGTTAGTGACCAAACCTCACTTCTCAGACATGTCTGACTTTCTGGGGAGTGGAAAGCTTCTACACTCACTTAGACCCTTCCTATCCAGTTAAATGTTCTGGCAGGGACTAAAAAATGGCAAACGTGTCTTCATTTATTCCTGTGATTTCCGAAAAGATCTAGCTACTCTTTAGTAGAAAGCCTCAAAGAACACTTTAAATAAAATAAAATTCCAAGCCTGGGGGTTGTGGACCAGTCCTTTAATCCCCTTGCTAGGAGGCAGAGGCAGGTGGATCTCCAGTCTGGTCTACAGAGTGTGTTCCAGGACAGTCAGGGCTACACAGAGGAGAATGAATTACTTGACCTCTGGTCTCACAATTCTCCTTTGTTGTATCCACAAAAGATACCCTGCTGCCTAGTCCTAACCCATCCTGCACATTTAAAGGTTGAACTTGGGCCAGAATATGAAATCCCAAAGTGATGTCCTACTCAACCTTGCTCTTCTCCCTCAGCCTTGGAATCTACCAAGATTCCATGAAGTGACTCTTTCTGTTATCTCAGCTGCAGTGCAATTGTCTAGTTACCACTCTCTCCCATCAGCCTTCTCTTCAAGTCTTTGCCCCAGAGAAGGAAGAACAAAGCTTCCTTCGAATTTTGGTTTTGATTTTTTTGGTTTGTGGTTTTAGTTGTGTTTCACAAGTACTGTGTTGGATCTGCTGGGACTAGAGACACACATGGTTGTTAGCCACCATGTGGGTGCCAGGAATCAAACCAAGTTCCTCTGCATTTTGGGAATGGCATAGGCCGTGTCCCTGGGATAGTAAAGTACATGCCAGTGAGCTTCCAAACTCACATTCCGTTCTACTCAGTTTATAGAATCCATCATTAACAGACAGAGGGGGAGACCCCCACGTTGTACTTCTATTTGAGCAATCAGTATCTGCTTTCAGCAATTTTAAAACACAAGGCAGTTGCTTGGTTACTTGCTCAGAGTCTCTACAGTCCAGTGAATAGCTCTGTGGTTAGGTATTGATATGGACAACCACACTAGCACTACTGTTCACTGAGCAGTCCATCACATTTGGCCATTGTCTGCGAACATTCTCCATTATTCAATGAAATTAAATTAGTCAGTGTCAGACCTGTAGCTACCCTAGATCATTTCCATGTTATAGTTGAAGAAGCCAAGGTTCCATGCCTGAAAGACTTGCTTTCCTTCCTACTGTAAAGCAATAAAGCAACACAGCATATACAAGGTGCCATGTCCACCCCACTGACAGTTCCTCTGAAATGTTTTATCCCCTCCACTGGTCACTCTCTCTTACCCCCACCCATGTACCTGTTTTCACATTTTCCCTCCTTACTTCTCTATCTCTCTCTCCCTTACTATTTTTGCTCCCTCCATCTCACAACTTCCTGGTTTTTGCTTCCAGGTCACAACTTTCTGTGTTCTCTTAAAGCCTATGTGGCATTCAAATGGAAAATTCTTTTCGCTTCCACTTTTGCTCAGTTATGCTTTCTAAGAGCCAAGGATCACAGGTAGTGATCACAAAGATCACTACGCCTTGCCTTAGCCCACCACCTGGTACCCTCCAGCGCACAGTGGAACAAGAATCCACTCAAAACATGCCTGTGGTCTATGGGTCCTTCAGACTTGTGGAATATCTAGCTCAGATATCCGGGGCCTCCAACTCATCTTCTTCCAGCCCCAGAGGATCCAGTGCCTCTGAGCCAATACCTACCCTGTATACCTATTTACACAGCCCACAGGCTCCCCTGGACAAGGAGTGTTATTACAGAAGGAAGCACCAGCAGTCCCCTTGAGACACAGAAAGCTGGTCAATCAGAGTTTGCCTGCATCAGCTCATGTTAGGTAAGACTGGGGTCAGGGAAGGGGATGTCTGAAAGGAAGCATACATGGCTGGAGAGATGTCTCATGTTGGATAATCTTTCCATATTTCCTTTGGCTCTCTCTTCACAAATTCCTTTGGTTTTTAAGCTACTACCCACTGATTTTACTACAATTTTCCATGTAAATTTATCACCTCTTCCTATCTCCACCTTAAAGGAAGACACAAGTTTAACATCAATGTAAGAAGGACACAGTTTTGAATTCCCAAACGTGAATTCTTTTGTGAGATATTGACAGCTGCCTTTGAACTCTCTCTCTGCTTCCAGCTCTGGGCTTGAGGCATCACGTCCCAGGTCTGTCCAAGATGTCCTTTCCCTTGAAGCAAAACCTGGCTGGAATCTGTTTTTTTCACAGCATCCCTGGGGTTAGAGATAATTTCTGTAAGTTTTATGTTTAAGTTTATCACAATGTTCAGCTTTTATTGTTGGGTATGTTGAAAGCAAAAAAAAAATGTCTGCTTACTCAGAACATCCAATCACAAGCAAGGTTGGAGCTGAAAGGGGAAGGGGGTGATGGGATACCAGTTCATTTTCTCTTCTGTACAACCTGTGACCCCTGTGAAGAAAGTGTCATAACTTAAACCAATTCAAAGTTTGCATTTCAGCTGAAACATCTGTTTCATCTCTAAGTCACCATGAGCTGTAAGAGTGCAGATCATGGAAGATCTCATCTAGTTTGAAGAAAAATGTAAAAAATCAAGTACTATTTTTCTCACATATGTCTGCATATTAGTTACCTGCCTCATTGCTCAGACAAATACCTGGCTAAAACAACATCAGAAAGAAAGGGTTCATTTGACTCACACTTTGAGGCCACAGCCCCTCATGGTGGAGACCGCAGGCCTGAGGAGTCAGAGTGTGAGACAGTTGGTCACAGTCCTTCATGGTGGAGATGGCAGGCCTCAGGAGTAAGTGTGAGGCAGCTTGTCACACTTCCTGCATATATCCAGGAAGCAGCTGGTTACTGATGCTCAGCTATATTGTTTCTTTTCATTAGGTCAGGACCCCAGTCCATGGGATGGTGCACCCACATTTAGGACAGACGGTCCCACCTCAGTTAATCAGGAAAATTACTCACAGTTGTGCTCTGAAGTTAGTGTGGGTGCAAAACCACAAATCCCACCTCAAAGGGGAGAAAGTATCATTTATTGTGAAGCCAAATATGCATGACTGTGTTCTGGGAACACAGCTTTAGGGTACCTCAAATTCCATGTTCTAAGGTGGCAACACATTGATGAAGTATTGGTAGTAACAGCACAGAGAAAGTCAGAAATCTAGGTACTTTTCAAATACATTGGTGGAAACATTAAGTAGATGCATGGCAATAAAGCAGGAAAACCTTAACTATAAGCCCCACATGCTGCCCTGATGCTCCTGCTCTTTCAGGTAGTAATAACTAGGGTTTCATTAATACATCCCCAAGTGCTGTAACCTGTTTAATACGTTGATGTTAGGGCAGATGCTGAAGTGGGCAAGAAACGGCTGTTTAGGAACTAGAGGTAGCACGAGGTAGTTGCCATTAGAGCCTGGACCTGTAACATTCTTCTGTGTTATGCCTTTGGTTCTGGGGAAGAGAGATTACTGGCAATAGAAGGATGAAGGAAAGCCTCAGGTGGTGGAGACCACGGGGGGCTGACCTGTACATCCCTGGGCTGTAGTTCCTGAGTGAGGAGTGCAGTTCCACTAGAGTGCTGTCTGCAGTACAGAGAAGAGGAAAGGAAAGGGGAAGAAGGGAGGGGAGGGGAGAGGAGGGAGAGGAGAGCCAAAGTGAATCACTGTAAGGATTTCTGCAGCAGTGCTCAAGGGAAATCCAGTCTAGATTTTTGCAAAGAGATTTCTGTAAAAACTTCTGGCTACTTCATGAAAATGCCTAATGAGATCTCCATCAGAACATTGTATACAACAAATATTACAAATCTTTTAAAAATATAATTCTTGAGATTTAGGGTTTTTTTCTTGTATATGTATACATGTTTGCCTGAATGTGCGTTTGTACACTGCATGTATACAGTGCCTGGAGTGGTCAGAAGAGGACATTGGGCCTCCATGAACTGGAATTACAGATAGTTGTTAGTCACCATGGAGGTGCTGGAAATTGAATCCCTGCCCTCTGGAAGAGCAGCTGATGAGCTGCTTAGCTACTGAGGCATCTCTCCAGTCCCACGATGCTTTCTCGAGTGTCACAGAGTAAGTGATAAATACTGATTGCTTTCTCATACATGTGCGGTGTTTTTGAGGAGAGGAAACATCTACTAGCTCATGTAGGTGGCTACTTCATTAACGTGACTGTTCTCCACTGCTTCCGTCAGCACCAATGTTCTATGCCTGTAATGTTCTACCAGAAACTAGAAAGTTATAAGCACAATTCTTACCCAGTAGGTTCCTCAAAGATCCCGCTATCCTTCAACGGAAACCATTAAAAACAGCGGACAAACCAAGATTTCTTCACCCTTTGTCTCAAAACCTCAGGCTTCTTGTGTCTACAGATCTTACTCCGCTACCAAGCCCTAACCAAGCTCCCACAGTAACCAGACTCAGCATTCCAGGGCTACTCCTTGCTTCAGCCCACGTTTACCTTTCTCCCTCAGTCCTATTAAGATTCTATGAACTGATTTTTGTCACTACCCAAAGAGCAATAAACTGAATTTTTTTTAACAACAGATTCCTGGAAGCCCCATTTGATGTTATCAATCCCCAGCTAGAACCAGGCTCTGAGATCTTCTCTGTGGGTGTCTCTACCCTCAGAGGCAAGAAAAAGGAGTGTGTAATAGTTTCAGTTTTCTTTAGTTGAGCTTAGTAAAAGCCGAACAAAATGGGTAAATTGTTAAGGATTTTTTTTTTTTTGCTTTGTTTTGGCTTGGATTTTGAAATAGTGTCTTTCTATTATGTAAGTAGCTCTGTCTGTCCTGGAGCTTGCTATACAGACCTGGCTAGCCCTGAATTTACAGAGATATCCACCTGCCTCTGCCTCCTGAGTGCTGGGATTAAAGGGGTGCACCACCATGCTCTGCCGAAGAAGTCTTTCTTTATTATATGATTACATTTGAAACACTTTTGTTTTTGACAGACAAAATGAGCCCTTCATTAGCAACCCCGGAAACAGCCAGGCTCCTCTCTCCTACAGTTATCCGAAGAAGTAAACTGGGGCAGTGGAAATGCTGGGAGGTGGCAGAAGGCTGAGCAGAGAAAAGGCCTGGCAGGCTGGGAGGAGAGAAAACAACCAGTGGAATATCACAGAGAAACTGGGTAGTTTGTGAGCTAGTTCCCCTCCTTTCTAAAAGTTAGAAGTAAAATGCAGAAAAAGGAAAAGCAATAATGACAAGAAACACACCAATTGGCCGGAGTCAACAATTTTCTAAGGGTTTAGTTTCCTTCCACCCACGCTCCCATCCCCTTTCAAGGTTTCCAAGATGCTTTCCCATTGGTCAGATTTTCTTTCTGGGAGATTGCTTTTTTTTCTAGAAGAGTTTCTTTCTTCTTTCTAGAAGAGCTGATCTGAGCCAGGGGCTGGTAGTGACTGTGAGCAAGACATCAAGCAGATAGGTGAGTGTACAGGCTCCACAGGTCCTCTCCTGGGTGACAGGAGCTCGGCAGCACTGGACACCTGGTCTGGAAGGGATGGGATTGGGTGTTCTTAAGCACTGAGCCAGAAGAGCAGTTCATTTGGAGGACCAGGAAAGCAGTTTTCAGTGACTGCTTCTTGTCCCACTTTGTCATGGAAGGAACAATGTGGAGGGTTAGGAGAAGGCATTGATTAACTGTTCATTTTGCTTCTGAAAAGTCTGGCCTGGGAAATCGAAACAGAGAGTGAGAAATCAGGTGGCCAAGAGGCTTTAAATATCTTTAAGATTGCTCAGGAAATGGTGGGGGAGAGGAGGAGGGAGACAGAATGAACGAGAAGTAAGAAGGGTGGAGCAAAGAAGGATGTAAATGAAGAAAGTTGAGAAAGAGTGGTCAGGAACAGGGGAGGGACAAAGAGAAATTGTTGCTGACTGACTGGGAGCTGTAGGTACTGGGGACTGGAAGGGTGTTGCAGTGGGGCTGGAGAGGGGACTTTTAACAGGCTCTGTTACCTTGTTACTTAAAGAAGAGACAGCAAGTTCTTTATTAAGGTCAGTGGAATTTCAACTTCTCCCATCACAACAAAGATTGGTTTAGGATACTGGCAAGCATTGAATATCTTGCTATAACATGGTTCTGTCTGAATATTGGAAAAGATAGGAGGTGAGGAAATGGATATGGAGTCTTAGCTTAACCTCTTAACTCTTCCTCAAAAACTTGTGAGGGAACTGTAAAATTCACATTGCTGTCTGTGTTAAGGGGAGCCTACCAGAGATGACCACTCAGTCAATAGCCAAGTGAAAGTCTTTATTCCAACCGGCTAAGACTAACTTCAAGTATTCAGGACCTAAGTGTAGTAACCTTGAGCATTTAGACTAAGGAACTTTTAAAGACAAGAACCACAACCTTATATCCTGTTCAGCAGCTGGAAGAGGAAGTTTGCACAAGCTCACAATTTAACAGAAGTTAAGATAGCTTGGGCATCTTAGCCTTGTGTCCTAGAATAGTTGGGTAATTTTCCATAAAATTCTTCATCAAAGAGACCAGATTCGAGGTAAATCTAAAATGGCCTCATCAGGAATACAAGATGGAGGAACCTCTGTACTGCCTTGCCCCTCACATCAGCTCACTTTCTTTTTCTGAGGGAGTCCATTAAATGAGTCATCAGCAAAAAAACAGTAATTCCCAAGATGTCTAACTGGTTGAGTAGGAAATTTGTGCCCTCAGAAATCTTACAGCACAGCCCACTTCTCCACTTACTTTTCAACTTTTACTTTCTCAGAATCTCCTCTGTTCTAAGAGTGTCCTTGGTTATGAGTATTGATAACAGCACTAGCAGTAATGTGACCTGAGCAGTCTGTAACACATGACCATTGCCTGAAGCCTTCACCTACATTTTTATTAGTGTTTATTTACTTGGGGTATTGTTTGTTGTTTGTTTTGAAGACATGGTTTCTTGTGTAAAAGCTCAGGTTGTCCTGGAATTCCTTTTGCAAACCAGGCTGGCCTCACACTTACAGAGATTCACCTGTCTCTGCTTCCTGAGTGCTAGGACTAATCATAGTTACTGACAGAAACTTAGTGATAATAATTTCTGATTATTTTTATTGAGTAAATAAATCAACATTGTAACTATAGAAGATAAGGTCCTTCATGCCTAGAGATGGAAAATGACTTGGGTTTAAAATGTCATGATGATTCTGTTGCCTATTAAAATGAAAGACAAAATAAACGTTCAAAAAGACAGAACACTATGTGATACATATTTGGAAATTCACAATACCTTCCTCTGTCTTTTCTATCAGAAAATGTTCTAGTTTATGGCTAACGTGGCACTATCCTTACCCATAGCACAAGAGAGCAAGAGCTGCATGACATCTTTGGGGGAAAACCTTTGGAATATAGCCTCGCCCATCATAGGTCTCCATCCATTCCATGAATGTACCAGAAGGGTCTGCCTTTTGCTGGGTTTTGTCCAGATGGTGAGGTCATAAAGAAATATAGATCCTTCTGATTGTATTAAGCACTAATGAAGGTTTCAATATTTAATTCAAAATGTTTTCTATTGGAGAGAGAGCAAAAGAAAGAAACAGGGAAAAACACATCTTTGGACAGAAAAAAAAAAATCCAAAAAACTAAAGCAGTAATTTAAGCAATCATTTTGGATATTTTTTCCAGATCTCATCTTGATATTTTTTTCTTCTTTCATCTTTAGGGTATTGCCAAGTTCTTCACCTACTTATTCATCTGCAAATTTACTATAACTTTACTACCTCCATCTGCAAGGAAGACCAGAGCTTAACATCAAGGTAAGTAGAAAACTTTTGATTTCCTGGACTACAAGCTGCTATGTGGGTTCTTCTCTTTGTATTTGAATTTGGTCTCTGCTTCAATTTCTAGGCTTGGGTGTGTCTTATTTCTTGTCAATGGTTTACTTTCCTGCCAAACAAAATCTAAGGAAAGCCTGCTCTTCATGGCAATTTTGGAACTAACAATTAGAGGTCATTTTGTTAAAATTTTAGGGTAGTTCTTGACTCAGAATGCTCTCGCACTTTCTGTTGTTGGGGTGATCATGTTTGGTCAGTTAGCTAACTGCTTCCTAACTTAGCACACTGGGGCAAACAAGACCAGAACTGAAGAGGCAGACAGGACCCCAGTTAATCATTTCTTCTCTACAGATTCTGCCATACATTGACTCATTTTCAAATTAGTGTTTCAGGTGAACTATCTCTTTCATCTTTAAGCTACCAAGAGCTGTGAAAAGTGCAAGTCACAGGGGGACCATTTTTCTCGGGTACGTTGCTATATTCTGCTATGAAATATTTATACAATAGACTTGGCCATACTTGGTCCTAGATTGCATAGTTCTTCCTGCCGGGAATCTGCTTCCTTGTGTATTGTGAAATCATCCCCATTTACCTGATTCTTCTTCCTGTCTTTTCTTTCTTTCTTTCTTTCTTTCTTTCTTTCTTTCTTTCTTTTTTTTGATTCTTTTTATTTTAGTGTACGGAATTGGGGAAGACATTTGTAAATCAAGTCTAAATCATATTAAAATGGTTTTCTTCTTAAAGAAATTTTGTTTGTAATTTTGCCTTAAACAATAATGATGATAGTAAAAATGTCAAATGCAATCTGTTATGGTAAGATTTGGGGAAATGAAATCAATAGTATTTCACAGCATGGAAATATTCTGAGTATGGATAATTCATTCAATCAGAACAACCTATATTCTTAAACTACTTGAGTTTGTAATTGTTTTGTATATTGATTATTACTGTGACCTTGTCAGGCTGGTGAGGAAGACTGTGTTTTTTATTTGCTTATGGAAAGAAAGGAGAGAAGGGAGTTTCTGGAAGGAGAAGTGAAGACTTGTTTCAGTTTTCTAATGTGATCAGAATTCTTTCCATTCTTTAAGCTTGGTTATAAAAATGACCCTTTTCTGTGTCCTTACAGCTTTTTGAATATGTCAAAAAGGTTGAGTATTGACAGGCATTTGAGGATACTGCTTCAAAGCCTCTGCCTTGTTTCTTCTTATCCAAGTTTCATAAAGCTAGAAGACCTAAATAGTTAGAAAATTCACGTCAAGCTTGAGTCTGTCTCTGCCTTACTCTACTATAGAGAAATAATCTGATAACCACATACACTGCTTCCCTTTCCTTAAAAGTTTCAGGCCAAGCAAGAACTGTAATCTCAGCACTCTGTAAGCAGGAGGGAAATTTTCACATTCCTGCTGATTCAGGGAGGTATAACATTCCAAAAACCAACAACAATAACCACAATACTACAAATTCACAAGGAAAAGTACCTAAATTGCCCCCAATGTCTTTGCATAATGAAAATCATTTCCAGCACTCCGCACAGTGTGGCAAGGATATCACGGGTGACAGCATTTAGACTGCAGATGGACTTCAGGATAATTTCTAGGGATGGTCAGAGTAAGTTTGTTATTTTACATTCTTTTTAATCTCTAAATCTGAGAATATTAGTGTCATCTCAAATGATAACGGGAATAACCTTTGCCATGCTCTGTCATTGTTGTCCTCACTACCAGTGTATAGCATTGCTGCACTCTAAACCAGGACTGTTGGCATCATTTTCATGAAACCATGACATCGGGAAAAGAAACTTTTCTGACACAGGAGGCAGATGCTTCCCTTTATATTGTTTGAATCAATCCTCCTTAATCCCCACCATCACACTTTCCTGGTTCTTGAGATAACATCCTATAGAAATGGAAATTGTGGATACAAAGTTTACAAAAAAAATGCATAGATGAATGGGGAATGATTGGAAACTGGGTATTAGTCTTAACTTGTTCAGTTCTTTGCTGGTTATTATGTGATAACAGGTAAGGCACTCATAACGAAAAATGTTCATTATATCACTATGTCTATCAAAACATAAGACAGGCCATTTTCTGTCCTACCTACTTCAATGATTTTGGTATTGATGTAATGGCAGAAATGGTCGATTTTTGCATGTTAGATGCTAGGGGAATCAATGTATCTATTACCAAAAATAACTATTTTTATGAGAAAATAATTAGTTAAATGTTGATATTTTTATTGTTAGCATTGAATACCTGGTACTAAATCATTATGCTGTACTATTTCTAATTTTAAAGCTTTTTAAATTAAAAATTTTGAAGTCTGGTATTGTGAGGTGTCTCTAAAAACCCAGCCCTAGAAGACACAAACAAGACAATCATATATTTGAGGGCAACTGGGACTAATTGAAAAGTTCTAGGAATGCCTGGATACATAATGAAAATCTATAATAGAAAAACAATAACAAATAAGCAAATGGATACAATTGCTAGTGCAATATAGCACTGTGATTGGCAAAGATGAAAATTATATTGTTTAAAATAATAAGCAAGACCTGAAACACTGTATCAGGAAGTTGGTAGATTTAAAATATCTGGATAACACTTCTTTCCCCTTTATTGGTTGGGAAATGTACCATATGTGATATAAAGAAATTATCTGACTGATTTGATAGGAAGCTGAGCTTATATTTCAGATCCCAAGTTAAACTCAGATTATTTCTACTCACTGATCTTCTGAGGTTGGTACTGAGATTCCCACAGGAATTCTGTGAATTTTACACTAAAAATAGAAATATTAGACTATCTATCATTTATTTTTAGGTCCCCCAAAAAGAGCAGAGTGTTTGCAAGGTTGATCAAATTGAGATGGAATCTAGAAAAAGAGCAAGTGAGAAAACCAACCCCCACAATCAATGTCTACCTAAGAAATATCGACAAGATCAGCCCACTTCCTCAAATAAGACAATTAGCATCACCATAGATGGAAATCATGAGACCACTCTCAATGCTGTCAAAGAAGAGATAGAAAATCAACAAGACAAAGAAATGCTGGTGTGTGGCAAAGAAGGAATCAAAGGGTACATAAACCTTGGCATACCAGAAGTCAGCCACATGGTCATTACATTCTCTAAAACTGAAAGTGAGCAGAGAGAAGATAAGCAAGCATTTGGTTCGCAGCACCAGGTGTGTACAGACTCCATTAAATTTTACATTCATGCAGTTGGGAAGAGAAGCGAAAGGATTCTCAAGTGTAGAGAACTTCACCAAGAGGGGAAAAAACTCTGTGTCAATGGCCTCAAAGGAGAGTCCATCAAGGACACTCTGAGGAAGGATGGCAGGTTTAATTCCTTTGTAGAGAGTGACCATTGGAAGCTCATTAGTGACCTGGACACCATTATAGAAAACACCCAGCCAATTGATGAGTTAGAAGGCAAACTCTTTCAGGTTGAGGTTGAGAGAAAAAAATGTCCCCAGGCAGCAAACTCCACTGATTTGGAGAAGCCATCTTACTATGAGTTAAAAGAATACATTGTGAACAAGTACCCCACTTTAAAGAGAGGAAGTGAAAAAATCAGAGCATACATCAAGGAAGAAAGTGAAATACAAAGTAAGAAAACTTCCTCTTTTGAAATGCACAAAGCCAACTTTGGGAAATTGACAAAAAACTCCACCCCAACTAAAGTGCTCAAACTTCTCTCACAGTTCAGTGATTCAGTTGGGCTCATAGTTTGGAACAACAATGGAAATGAGGGCTATGCCACTTGTTTCGTTTTTAAAGGATTGTATGTTCTTACTTGTATGCATGTGATAAACGACATCGTGGGGAAAGACATAGAGCAAAGTAAGTGGGCAGAAAAAATTAGTCAATGTACAAAAGTCATTTTTGATTATGAAGAGTACTTGGCAAATGAAGAAAACTGCTTTTCCGTTGAATCTTGGTTCATGATCTATGATGACACACTCGACTATGCTCTCTTAAAACTGGAGGAAAATGAACAACAAGAACCTGCAGGGCTGTTTAATGGAATAGCCCCTGTACCATCTAGTGGGTTAATTTATGTTATTGGTCATCCTGATATAAAACAGAAGCGTAGTGATGGCTGTGTTCTGGTTTCTCAAGATGAGCACATTCAGAAAAGAAAAGCAGCAGACGACAGTGATACTACACAGTATATCTATATGTACACCCAAAGAAGTTTCCAAGAAAAAGTCCGCGAACCTGGTGTGTCTACCTGGAATAACACTTTTTATTGTGGGTCTTCGGGATCTCCTATATTTGATTCTAAAGGATCACTGATAGCCATGCACACCGCTGGCTTCATTTGTGAGTATGAAAGTGGGGTTTCCAGTATCATCGAGTTTGGCTGTGCTATAGAATCCATCTTCAACCATATTAAGACAAATCATACAACGTGGTATGAAAAGGAATGTGCAAATCAACAAGATGTAGAAATGAATAGTCTAGAGTGTTGAGGACTGGAGAGAAGTTAGTCTGTTTTCTTTTTCCCTTTTAACGAACAGCATTCTTATTCTTACAATTATACAATATGTTCTTACAATACGCTTCTACAATGTATTCTTCTCACATTTACACAATGCATATTGATCATATCCATCTACTGCCATCTTTCAACTCTTCTAGGACCCCAATCTCTATCTCAATTTCATGCCTTCTTTTTATTTTTTGCTATTATTAAGTTCCTGAGCCCAATTAGTACTGCCCTTGTGCACATAACTATGTGGCCATTCACTGGGACATGAACGCCCTACCACCACCATGTCCCCAAAAGAAAGCAGCTTTCCTTGCATCAATGGCCATCTACTGTCAATAGCTGCTCAGCAAAGGACATTGTCCTGAAGGCCCCACTTCATCCTTGCAGAACTTTTGATTGACCTTGTTTAGGTAACCATGGCTTCGGTGAGTAGACCTGCAACATCCCTGTCATGTCTAGATGTCACTTTCCACAGCTCTCCTCCCACTCCTCTGGCTCTTTTGTGTCCTCTTGACCATGAAGTTTCATGACCTGATCAGGGTTTATACAGATGACCCATCCACAACTGAATACTCAACAACTGAACATCTTTATAAGTGTTCTCTATCTAATTTTGAGTATAGCACAAATGTCCCCATGCCTGTAGCCTATTTTCCACTTTTTAAAAATGTAAGATGCTCATTAGTTCTTTTAAATCTAAAGCATGCATATAATGTATTTTGATCATGTTTGTCTCTCTATTCCTCTTTCTAACTTCTTCCCATAACTTCTCCCAAATCTACACCTCCCAACTTAATATCCTCATTTTCTTTGAAAGGTAACATTAGTCCAATTTGTGTTACCTGTATACTGTCAGGTATTTGGACATGTACTGGAGCATGGTTGAACTATCAGAGCCCAAATCCTTAAGAAAACTGACTTTTTATTCCCAAATCAACTGCCCAAAGCTTCTCAGTGAAAGGTGGGCTTCCTAGGTCCCTTCTTGACCCATTCCAACCAAAAATCAGATGATAATATCTACTTTTATAATTAATCTTACTTAAAGACCTTATGATTTTTTGGGAGTTCATTAGTTTATACCGAGTGTCCCCTTTTCTGTTCCCAGATTTCATCCACACTTACATTTAGTTATCCTCTAGGTTCCTGATGGCTTTTCAGAGCTGCTGGTTTGGATGCCCTGGCAGTTAAAAAGAGAACAGGTCAGGCAGTCTTTAGGATGCCCCTGTATTGGAGTCACCTGAGCCTTTCTGATGAGTAGACAGAGGTGTGAGTTCTAAGTAGGTCAATCACAGGCATGTATCATTTTCACACTATCACATCCACATGATTCGTGCCTACTGTTATTGACTCATGTCACCAGCTGAAGTGGTATTTGCCAGGTTTCTCCATTGTGAAGACATACCCCTTCTCTTCTTTCCACTTTTGGGTAGCACCCGTGGGAAGGAAGTCACTATGCACAGTCTTTGTTTAAGGAGTGGGGATTGTTTCTCTGTCCTGGCGTAGGTGTTCCTGAAGTATCTACATAATCCATTGGGACGATTCTGCAATGGGTATTTCTCTCTTATGCACTAATTTATTTGGTTATTCAGAAATATCAGTAAGAGCACAGAAGCTGTGCCCCCATTCCTTCCCTGCTCCAGTTTTCTGCACTTGCGTGCATGCATGCCAACCTCAAGGAATGCACTGTACCTAACACAAATTCTTTGCCTGAATTTGTACCCAGAGATTTATGAATACTAAGTGTGTCTGTAGTCTGCTGACCCCCAAGAATTTTAAGTAATATATTCTTCTCTTTTGTTTCTGTGTCTCCTTTATCAATGGGAGAAATTCTTTATATATATATGAGTGTAATAACCTAGATAGATAGATAAACAGATGATACACAGATAGGACCAAGAAATATATATGTGCAATAACCTAAATAGATAGATAGATCTATAAATATTTGTATCCATAACTATATGTATCTACAATAAATTACAGAATTATCATGAATGTCATCAAATCTGACTCATAACTACAAAGACAATTTCTATCTCTTCTCAGTCCATCTCTATAAATTTCCATTCCAACTGTGAAAAATATGGATCTTACCATATCTCAGTCATTTAGTTATTGATTAATGAGTGTATAGATAGATAAATTCAGAGGTTATATAGACAGACGGATGATAGATAGATAGGTAGATAGATAGATAGATGATAGATAATAGAAATATGGATAGATATAGATCATATATAAATCATACATACATACAAGTATAGATATATAGATAATATATAATAATATAGATAATAGCTACATAGGTAATTACATAGATACATAGGTGATAGATACATAGATAGATATATACATAAATGCACATATATGGTGATATACATGAACACATAAATAACATGTGTGTAGATAAATGCATAGATGTAAACTCGTAGGTAAATAGCCAATACAGAAAAACAAATGTATAGATATAAAATCAGAGACATAAATTCATAGATACATATAATAAAGACATATAATACTTAGCTATTGTAGCATATATATACATATATATATAATAGATTCAGAACAACAGCATAAATGGTAAAATTGTCTGTACTTGAATGAGGACTAACATATTATCAACTAAATAATGTGCTCCTGTGCAGTTCCTTTTCTTTAATCTGACATATGGGATTCTCTTCTACAGTTGAGATGACTTCCACCCACTCCATCTACACCTGACACACACTGGGTGAGATTCTTTAAACGTTTGAAATGGTTACACAAAAATAACCTTCTGGAATATCCCACATTCATGCTGTCCTGTTAGCCTTTGAATTCTGAATGATTTTTGTAAAATTGTATAACTTAAAGTTCACAGTGTGACATTTACTGGATTTAGCAGATGTGTACTGTCCCATGCTTGTATAGAGCTTGTCTCTTTTCATTACCACATAGTGATACACGGACTTGCTATAACTTGTTTAGTTGTTCTGTTTTTCAAGAGATCTCAGTTGCTTTCCGTGTTCAGTGATTATTAATAAACTTCTACAAGTCTCTTTGTCTTGGTTTTTATATGACACACATTTTCAACACTGTTGGCCAAATACCAACCAACCAAAGAGTATAATTGGAGTCTATACTAAGACAATGCTTAGCTTTATAAAAAAAATCTGCCAAAATTCTTCCAAATTAATTACTATTTTGTGTATTTCAGCAATAACAAATGACAGAAGTTCCATGCCCCAACCCCAACATTTGGTATCATCTGGTTCTGTGTCGTGGTTTATTTGATTTGGATTTGAGGCACAACACTGGGAAGGCTGGAGGCCTTCTGAGGATTACAAGGTTTGTTGAAGAAGTTGAGGGAAGCTATAACATAATAGACATTAAAAGAATCAGAGACTCTTTGAGTGTGTGAGGAGCAGGAGAAGAAGGCTTCGACAAAAGTTCAACCAGGGGATGTCACCCTAGCTCCCTGGAGCAGGGGAAATTGTTGACAGAGCTGTAGATGTCTGAGGAGATGCCGTGACTTGTCACTATGACACTACTAGTAATTTATGGAGAAATTGCAAAGTCACCACATTAGACCTCCTACTTACAAGTCAGATAGTACAAACCCCTGACTTCCTTTTATAATCTTCCAAGAAATAATTGGTTTCTACCTTCCACGTTTCTTGTCTTTTGTAAAAGCTAATGTTTAATTTATTCTTTGAAGGTTTTACACACAAATGCAGTGTATTTTGATCATATCCACACCCACAATCTCATTTAACTCCTTCTGGATTTCTCCCAACTTCATGCCTTCTCCTCATCATTCTTCTTCCGTTCTTCCTCCCCTCTTCTTTTTGTTTTCAAAACCCTCTAAGTCCAAAATTAGCACTACCAAAATGTACATAGATTTGAAACTATCCAAACCCCAGTGGTTCTCAATGTTCCTGATGCTGCTAACCTTTAAAACAGTTCCTCATGTTGTGGTGACCTTCAACCATAAAGTTATTTTATAATTGTTGCTACTTCATAACTAATTTTTCTATTGTTACAAATCGTAATGCAGATATCTGAAGTGCAGGATATCAGACATGTGAAAGGGTTATTCGGACCCTGAAGGGGGTTGTGGCCCACAAGTTGAAAACCACTGCACTAGAGCTTGGTCAACCCACCTGGTGCTACATCACTGAAGAAAATCGTGCCTCTTCCCTTTTTCCTGAACCCTGGCCATCATTCTTTTATTTTATTATCCTTGCAGTTTTACGTTTTTTCAGAATGTCATATTACTGGAGTTACATGGTGTATTCCCTTCCTCCCAGTAGCCATCAACTGCTAACAGTTTCTCAGCTGTAGCGGAGACTCAAGGGCCCCTCTCTCACCGAGAGAGGCTTGAACTTGTGCAGTTCTGGTGCAAACAACCGTAGTTGCTGTGAGTTCATCACTGCAACAGTCATGTCATGTTCAGAAGACACTGTTTCACAGTGGTCCCCTCTGACCTCTGGCATTTAATCCTGGTCCCTCCTCTTTCACATCTCCTGAGCGTCAGGGAATGGACATATAATAAACATGTCCCATTTGTGGCTGAACACTCCGTAGATATTTGTTCTTTATACTTCAACAACTTGTAAATCTCTTCATTAACTGCTGCACACTGCCAAAAGAAGCTTCTCTGACTGGGATTGAAAACTGGTTTTATCTAAAGGTATAATGGTAAGATTGGAAGACAGTTTGATACTATATCAGTTTATCAAGATACATAGTAATGGGTTCTCCTCTAAGACATATGAGTTCCCCAACCACAGGCAAAATTTGTCATTCCAGGAATGAGTTCCTCCTGTGAAATAAGTCTTAAACGAAATCAGAAACTAGTTGGTGACACTCATAACATTTATACCACCGTTGCACACATGGCCATGTCTTGTCTGGTCAATCATTATTTCAGCTCACATGACTCACACCCAAATGAGATTGTTGTTGACTCCCCTGCCCCCAGAAGCCTGCCTGACACTTTCCAGTACTATGAAAGATAACCAGCAAGGTCTAAGCTCCCAGGTTGACCCTAGTTTGATTTCTTCATGTCCTATGAACAAAGTATGTTGTACCTTTAGCAGTAGAGTCTTATCAAGTTTTGTCAGGTAACCAAGAGCAATGGCAAAGGCTGCATTTTTGGGGGTGTCTTTGGGAACTCCCTGACCAAGCTGAGGGGAGGTATTCCACACCTGGCACTCAGTATTTTGCCTGACAAACTATGGCATCTGAGAGAAACATTAGTCCCCATGTAAGGTCACTCAAGGTGATTCCATTTAAACCTCTCTCTCGTGTGTGTGATGTATGTCTTTCTCCATATAAAGGCATATATACACATATGTGTATATATGTCAATGAGAAAAGTATATAATACTAATGAAGGGATACGCTTAAATGGGAATGTAGGGCAGACGGGGAGAAAAAATAACACTTAAGAATGTTTAGAAACATCAAAGATAAACATTATAATGGGACACACACACACACACATGCATGCATATTTTAATTTCTTCCTTTCTCCTACTGAAATAATACATGACCTACTTATTTTACAACTTTGACTGCTTTCTCCATAGATATTCTAAGTGAACACTAAAGGCTATTTTATTTTCTATCATTTTGTTTAATTGATTTGTGTATTATTTATTCATATAGAAGCTAAATCTCAGACTGATTTCAAGCTCATTAGATAGTTGAGGATGATGTTAAACTTCTCTGGGTTTAGTGTGTGCATGTGGTGTTAGGGGAGCATACTTAGGTGTTACATGAATGAAGGTCAAAAGTCTGGTTCTAGCGTCTTCCTCAATCACTCTTAACCTTATTTGCTTGTGGCAGGATCCCTCAGTAAACCTGGAGACTTCTTATTTTGCTAGTCTGGTTGGACAGCAGGCCACAGGGATTTTCCATCAGTCTTCCCAGCACTTGGATTACTGTAATCCAATGTACTGTAATGTAAACTAGGAGACATCTAGCTTGTGTGTGTGTGTGTGTGTGTGTGTGTGTGTGTGTGTGAGTGTGTATGTATGTATGCTTTTTTTTTAAATGGGAGTTTAAATGGTGAATTGGAATTAGGCCCTCATGCTCATACAACAAGAGTTTACAAACTGAGCTATTCCTCGGCCCTTGAACTTCCAATCTTTCTGCTTCTTCTTCACCAGTACTTACCTTCTAATTCTCCTGTCTCTACCTCCCAAGGGACTAGAAGGTTGTGCCATCATGTACAGTTTGTGAGATGGTGGGTTCAAGTTCAGGGCTTCATGTATGTTATGCAAGCATTCTACCAACTGAACTGCATACACCCAGCTATCTCTAAAGGCCTGCTTTCTTCCCTTCCCTTCCCTTCCTTACCCTTCCCTTCCTTTCTCTTCTTCTCCCTTCCCTTCCTACCTTCCTTCTTTTCACAAAATAACAAACTTTCCAATGACAGTTCATACATATTAAATTTTGGTTGATATATCTCCACAAACCTCCCTCCCTTCTCCCTGCCCTGTTGCTCTATGACTTCAGTATTTCCCTTTGCTTTCATATTTTGTTTTCTTTGAAACATATTTTTATTTCACACACATGTAGTGGTGTGTATGTGTGTGGCCAAATCTATTCAGTGACTGGAGGGTGGGGATCAGAGGGCAACTTTGGAAGTGGTTGATTCTCTTCTAACTTTTTCATTCCAGGGTATAAACTAAGGTCTTCAGGTTTGGTGACAAGTGCTTTTAACTACTGAGCACTTAACAGGAGTCCTTATATCACATTTTCTATTACTCTCCTGGTCCTCTTTCCTAAAAGCTCCCCTTCTTAAAGAGCCCTTTTCTGGTTTTTCAGATCTCTGTCCATGTTTATTCCCACCTAAAACACAGACGAAAAATTTAAACATGGCCTTTTTCTCTCATTTGTCATTTCTGTCAATATTATTTCAAAAATATTTAATTTTACTACTTTATTGTTTTACACATTTCATGCCAAGTCACAAGCTTAAGTTTTTACCAAATTTTTTTATCCTTATATGATTTTTAAGAACCAGAAATTAAATTGAATCACAAAATTTGAAAACAATCCCAAACTGTATAACCCTTATCACTTAAAACTTTTATCTATAATTTTCAAAAGAAGACAACAACAACAACAAAAACAAAATCAAAAGAGGTAACTCATGCAGCATGTTTATACGGTAGGCACTTAAAAAAAAATACGTGCTTCATCTTGGAGTCCTCATGTGTGTGTTCCTCAGGAATCAGGGTTCCTTGAGGAGACTGGAAGAATGTGTGATCAGGAAGTAGCCTCACAATCATAATAAAGCATCAGAAGGCACATTTGTTTACACTGGGGGGAGCTGCTTGTTTACAAACCTTAGAGAAAGTGGAGGAGTAGGTGAGAAGATATAGTGAGCTGGGAAGGAGCTAAGACTCACGCATCGACAAGCTTACAGAATCCTCTCCCTCAGTTCTGTTTTCCAGATGTCTACCAGTGTATGGTGAGGTGTTCCTCCTACTCTGTCCCATCACCAGAGGACATATTCTTGGAGCACATTCCAGATACAGTGCGAGCAGTGTGGCACTTCATGAAATGCTAGGCAGAACCCAATAGGTAGAATTCAGCCAGCTGATTGTTGGTATTTTCAGTTCAGATCACGTATTTTTAAAATTACCCATGTCCTAACATTAATCTTAATTAGCTAATTAAGCTCTTTAAAGTCACTCAAATCAAATCCTTCTTTTGGTGTTTTTCCTCATTTGAAATTTTACACATAGATTTGAAGACTGGGTTGCCTAATGCAGTCTCCCAGGGAAGATGAAACAAGGCCACATTCTGAGTTCTTACTAGGAACAACTGTCCTTCTCCTTGTAGATTTTGTAACGCATCCTTTAGATTGTTATGATGGTTTTGTTGATGATTTTACTGTTTAAGTGGCTTTCAAGGGTAACCCTAAAATTTTGTCTGGTGTTCCTAACAAAATGATGACTTATCTACCTCATAGAGAAATACATGTATGTTGAAACACCTCACTCACATGTACACATGCCCACCCAGCTCCACATGTATAG